TGCCTTGACACAAAGATAGCGTATATACTTTTTTGAATTAGAGGTAAATTTTACACAATTGAAATTTTATTTATTCAAAATTCACATCGGTAAACTTGACAACAATTTAGAAGAAAAAATATAAAAATAAAAAAATAATAATAAATAATAAATAATAAATAATAATAATAATAATAATAAAAATATAAATAATTTATAATTTTATAATAATAAACAAAAAATAATTTTTATATGCAAATTAAATTTATTATTATTTTTATTATTATTATTATTATAATTATAATCTCTTATAATTTTTTTTTTATAAAGAAAAAAAAATAAGGGAAAAAATTGTTTTTATTAATTTTTAAATAAACTCATTTTGATTTCTAATAAATAAAATAAATAACATAAACAACAATTAATAAATAACAAAAAAAAAATTCAAATCTCTATAAAGAAAAACTACCTTTGGAAGGTAACATCGATTATTATCAGACTACCACCTGTTGTTGTAACTGTTGTAATACACTTAAAAGGTCGTGTCTTCTGAATTTCAAAAATCCAATAATAATTATTAGATATATGCAAAAAAAAATTCCATCAGTCTAATATCAAATAAATATATTTAAATATATTTGATAATTTTTTATTTTTTTTTACTTCTAATTTAATTTATCTTAATTTTCATAATTATTTGTATTTGTTTTTAATTTTTATATTTATTCTATTTTTCTTAATTATAAATATAAATTCATCAATATATGTATATATATATATATTATTTACTTACATCAAAATAATTATTGAATTATATTTGTTTTTAATTTATAAAAATTATTACTATAATTTAATAATTTTAATATTTTTTTATTTTAATTTTTAATTTAATTTTAATTTTTTTTTATTTAGGTACTTATTTATTTAATTATTTGATTTATTTATTTACTTGTTCATTTATTTGTTTAGATACAAATAACTAAAATTGAAATTTAAAAAAAATATTTTAAAAAATATTTAAAAAATTAAAAAAAAAATATTGAAAAAATATTAAAATATTAAAAAAAAATATTTATTCCCTAATATATTGTCAAGTAATTAATAATTTTAATTAAATAAATATTTTTCAGCCCAAATATATCTTTGATAATTAGGAAACTATCGAAAAAAAGTATTTTACCTTGTTTGTAAAATACTATATACTAATTCATAGCACGTGTTAATTTTTTTCAAGGAGAGGGAGAAAAAGAAAAGCTATATAATGACTCTATAGGTTCACGTGATCGAAGAAATGCTTAACTTGTATTATTTAAGGCTACCAGCAAAAGAAAAGATCGATCATAATGATGCGAATGATGCGAACATTGTATTTTTTATATATATATATATATATATATATATATATATATATATATATATATGCACCAAGAAGTATATAATAAGTTTAAATTCACAAGGTTTTCCACCTCAGTAAAAATGTAAAGTCGCGACAATATAATTATACTCCAAACATATTCAAGTTATAGACAATTTTATTTAATACCTTGTATATATATATAAAAAGAAAACAATATATATATATACAATTACTCGCTCAAAATACGTATATATTTCTAATTTCTTGAAAATTATTATCATCACATACACGTTATACTATATAATTTAAAAATGTGTCTGAACTTACATAGACTTTCGGTATAAATATATATATATATACACATCAAGTACATAATTAAGGACACTGGACTATAAGTCTAACGATTTCTCAATTTCTCAGACTAATTACCTATATTTAATGTAACCCACACTAATATGACTTTTAAAATTTTCCCTAAAGCTCCAATTATTTTTTTTTAAAATAATAATTTTAAAAAAATTAATTTTTGCTGCTTTATAGAAAAATATTTAACTATTTCAAATAAATTTACATCCAAATAAATATTATATATATATAATTTATTATAATTATTATTTTAGGAATGCAAAAAATTTTCTTTGAAATTACTTAATAATAACCTATCAATTAAATATTATTTTCTTTGAATATATTTGTAACTAATCAACTAAATATGTATTATAAATTAACATGTATTATAAAGTAACATATAACTTGAATGAAAAAAAGAATCTAAATAAGTATTGATTAAAATGTTCAACACGCAAAGTTGACGGAAGTGAAAAAAGGAGAAATATATCGTGTCTTAAACTAAAACAGCGTTAACTACTAAAAAAAAAATTAAGAAAAAACAGAAACCTAAATTAATAAAAATTAAACCGAAAATTACATAAAATTGTTTCAGCCACGTGTTTACGAACTTTAAAAAATTCGAATTTCTAATAATTTTTATTACAAAAAACTAAAATTTATTTAAATAATTATTGAAAAATTTTAATAAAAAAATACCTCAGATACATAAAAATAAAAATTACTTTAAAAAAAAAATCCCATTATTTTTGGTTTAAATTATATTCTCGAATGAAATTTTAGTAGACTAAATTAAATCTAATATTTTTTTTTTTTAATAGAGAAAAAAGGTAATTTTAATCATTGTACAATATAATTATTTACCACAAAACTGAGCTAAATTAGTTGACAAAGTATATATAAAACATAATTTAAAGAGAACCAATAAGGCCGGTTTTTCATACCAAGGTTAAGTACACATAATAAAAATCACACTCTTTTTTTTTTTTATATATAAAGTCAGTCTTATTTATGTTGAATTTATTAAAAGATTTGACTTTCTATTGATTATGTAAATATAAATCTTTAACTTCTGAACATTTACAAGACTAATGTAATTTTTATAAGACTATTCTGTATTTTTTTTTTTAACTATTTTGTATAAATTAAATACTAGCTAATTAACTTAAATCATATGTTGTTGTTAATAAAATATACACTGTAATTTAAAATAAAAAAAAAATGAGTTGTTGAAACAACTCTTTTTAAATGTAATCTTTTCAAGGAATGTAGAATTCTTAGTATACGGCTGACATATTGGTTTTAAGTACACATGCACTCAGACTGATAGAGTAAGGTTAAAATATAAGAATATTTAGTCATTGGAAAAATTTCCGCCGAGTTAAAATTTTTTAAACAAATATAATCAAATTTTTTATCATTTTTATAAATAAGAGAATAAACAAAAACATTCTAAATTTCCCTCCTTTTTTTTTACTAAAAAATAACCCTTTAAATAAATAACTTTCATTAAATTAAAAAAAATAATAAAATTTCAAGAATTTTTATTTCAAATCAAAATTAATTTTAGGTCGGTTTTTCTTTTTAAATATAGATATTTTTGAATTTTTATTCTACCTACATTAGGAACAATTAATTTTAAAAACTTTTAAAATATACAAATATAAAACTAATAGAAAATAAATTACACTACAATTTAAGGGATTTGACGCGAGAAAAGATAAATGTATAGTAAACAGATAAGAAAATATATATATATAATTTCAGAGACTAAATTCTTTACAAACCTGTTGCTTCAAAAAGCGTGAAATGCAATTTCAATATAGAAAAATAGTCTCATTTTAAAAAGAATAAAAAATTTAAGAAAATATTTTCGTAAATTTAAAAAAACTAATATTTATAAAATTTAATATCAAGGTTTTCCTAGAACTGATAATATTCTCATGACCTAGTGAGGGCTTTTGTCAATAATTATTTTTTCTCAATTTGAAAACTTTCGTTTTTAACTAAAAAATTGTTGTTTAATTTTTTATGTAAAAATAATTATATGGGCTTAAAATTATTTAAATTTGAATATAGATGCAATTAAAACACATTTTACATAATGTAAAAAAACGACACAGTTTTACAGAAAATTTATGTATAAGAATTGGAGGTTAGTTAAGATGGTTTTAGTAATACATTTCTAGAATTATAAAAAGAAAATAAATGTACGAATAATTTACTCACCAAGTGCGACTGCTCTTTTTTAATGATGAAAAAACACTTTGAATTAATGGTACGAACAACATAACCCGCGTACAAAAATGTATCAGCCATATTGTTTACTGGCCCGACTTCACTGAATAGAAATACTACTACAATACTATCGCAATCATTCCGCAAACCGCACTAGTACACACATTAGTGATTAGTAAGAAAAATTCCAAACTCAAACTGAAAGCAGTAAAATAGTCACTGAATAGAATGTAATAAGATTGTGAACTCAATTTGTACTGATAACTGTAACCGACAAAATGCAGACTTGGGTAGGTGGACCGTACACATCAGGGTTCGGAACATAAATTACATAAAGTTTATTTTTTCTACATGTAGTTTACCATGTAAATTACATCAAAATCTTGAATTATAATTGTTTTATACTGTATAATATAAAAAAACTCAATATAAAACGCTGCTATGAAACTTTCCCCCCACCACCACTTATCAGAGGCGTCACATATAAGAGTTTCAATATTGCTTAAAGGTTCACGAATTTACTGTGCGTCGGCCCTAATGGTTATTTGACCTTCTTGCGTTCTGCACCCTGGTAGACGAAAGCCCGCCAAAGTTACTTTTGCATTGTCGCTCTTAGAATGTTAACTTTTCTTAATATTTCATTAATTATTTGCAGTTTATCATCTAAAATTGTGTGTAAGTGAATTAAAAGTGCGGTATATTAAAAAATAATGCAAGATTGTCGTAAATTTTGGTTATGTATTAAGTCAGTGCAACATTATTTGCTTATGTGCGCGGAAATAAACTTTGTCCATACTTGCTCTTTGAAAAAAACTTTTATTTCGTTAATTTTTCAAAAAAATTTAATTAAAAGTGTGTTAAGTGTATGAAAAAAGTGTTTGTGAAAAAAAAGTGCAGTGTTTGGAAATCTAGTTATTCACAAAAGGAGTGGAAGATATCATGGCTGACAAATATTAAACCTGATGAAGAAAATGCAACGCTGCCTTCAATCGGTGAGTCTATTTTTCTATTTTTTTTTTTGACAATCCATCGTAATTAAAAATAAAAAAAAATGCATTCAAAATAACAAGCAAGAAAATATTTTATAAACTTCAATTTATTTGAAGAATGAAAAATTACACAAATATATCTTAATTTTTAACACAAGATAAAATATTTTTCAAATACAAATTTATTCAATTTCTTCAATATTTTAAGGAATACAAAGAAAAATTACCAAGTGCTTTACATAAATGGGTTGTTTTTACTTGGTAAAATATATTTCTGAAACAAAAATTTTACTTTCTTTTTATAATTTAAAAAAAAAATTCCGAAGTCAAAATTCGGTAAAAATAATAGTAATTAATTTCTAATTAATAATTTGGTTTTTATGGAAAAATAATTTTCACATTGCTTTTTGATAAGCTTCTTAATCTCTAGTTTTTACATTGTAAATTATTTAAACAAAATTTTTATATTTCTTTTTAATTATCGAGAATAGAAAAAAAATAGAAATTTGAAAATAAATTTAAATCAACAATAATACTGAAATTAAGTATATAATTAATAATTTGTTTTTGATAGAAAAACAATTTCCTTTCCATATCGTTTATGATTTGTTATTGAAAGACCATGACTTATTGCAATATTGCGAATTATTTGATCTTCTTTTGGCGTTAAACCATCGGGCAATGGATATCTTACTGCATTAGTATCGTTTTTAAAATTTTTACAAATATTTTCAGTTATTTTCTCAAATTCTGTCCTTGCTGCATCTTCTTTTGTAACTTTTAAACAATTTGCCCATAAATGTTTTTCATCATCTTTATATTTTGTATGCAAATCATCAGCCTGTTAAATAAAAAAAAAAAAATTAAATTAATAATATAATTGCATATTAATAAATTGTAATTTATATTTATTTATATTTTTTGTACCAATTTTATTTCCTGTAACGTTAGCTTATTAGAAGGTTCTAATTCTCTTGCTTTCCATAATTTTTCCTTGGCTAATTCGTATTCACCTAATTTTATAAGTGCTCTTCCAAAGCTAAAATAAAGTTAAATTATTTTTTTTACATAATTAAAAAAGAAAAAAAAATTAAAAATGAAACATACTTGAAATAAGATTTTGCGTTTGGATATGCGACATTTTGACAAGCAACACAGGCATTTCGAGGTCGATTTTCCTTATTGAAACAAATAGCCAAATTTGTATAAGTTCTTGATAATAATTTTTTCTGTTCCTCTTCTTCTGTATCATTATTTAATCGTGATCCTTCCAACATTTTCACTGCTTTTGAGTAACTGTAAAAATTATTTTATAATATTATTTTTCTTTTTTTTTTAATTAATAATTATCGTATTACATACTCTCTGATTGCTTGCTTTGTTTTTTCCCTTCGAAAATTTTCAGTACCAGATTCCATTAGTGAACGAATTTTACCAGCGGCAACACGAAATTCTTTTTGCTCTTCAATGGATAATTTTTCAAAATCTTTTATATCACTTTGATCGATAAAATTCACGAGATTAATAACAAATAAAACTTCCTGATCGCCTGGAATTCTTGGTGGGCAACCTAATTTTCCATATGCATATTCTGGACTTATAAGAAATGCGGCGACTTCATGTTTTTTCATTGTTGAAATACTTATTTCTAAACCTGGTAAAATACCACCATTACCAAGTATAAATGATTCTGGTCCTGAACCATGAGCATAGGAAGAATCAAATGGTTCATCATTATATTCAAAGTGACCAATATAGGTTACAAAAACTTGTGCATTTTCAGTGACAATTTCTCCAGTGCCTTGTTTTTTAATCATTTTCATTATCTTAAAGAAAAAGGCAAAAAAAAATATTTTTTCTAATTGATAAAAATTGTAAATAAAAAAAAAACAACTTACTTTTCCATTGCCAAGAACATCAGTCATATTTTCCCTTAATTTATCAAATCGTAAATTTAAATTAAACATCAATTGCTCGGCAGTGTTTGTTTCTCCATCTTTTTCATCGTCGAGATTTAAATGTTTTAAAATATCATCATTAGACATAAAAATATTTTTTGAATATTCATATTCTTCTTCATTAATGTTGCATTCATTAGTTATTTCATGCATAACACCTTCTTCTGACAATAAATCCCTGCAAAAAAAAATTAAGCACATGGTTTTCTAAATCTTTATAAATTTGTTTCAAAAAAGAAATTGAAAAATTTTTTTTATACATACTGAATTGTAAAGCCGTCTTGAAATATGGCTCTTGCCATTTTAATGTGAAATAATTTTAATAAACAAAATGAAAATTAAGTTTATCGATGAACATGTAATGAAATTAGTGCGTAAAAATCACTTCCCCCTTTTTTTTTCTTATCGTCCGGCTATTCGTAAACAAAGAAAAAAAATGCTTCAAACTTTCGTCAAGGTTATGATACTTTAAACACAGATTGTATTTTGTATTTTGAACATGCAAATTTCGATAGTAGCGTCTCACAGTGACAGCTTCATGAACAAGATTAAATAATTTATTTAGTAAATTTTTTCTGTTAATAAATTTTATTTTTCAAAATAATTTTACTGAATATTATTTAAATTTTTTTAATTAAATACTTTTTTTATGAATTAATTAACTTATAAATTAATTTAAAGAGATAGCGTAAACGAGAAATTAATGAAACTTTTGGTTGGCAATACTGACAATTTTTGGATAAAGAGAAGTTTTCATTCTGTCTACATAACCTCATTTGCTCGCACGTGTTATTGTTTGTATTTATTTTGTTTTAAAAAAAAAAAAGAATACGTATATAAATTATGGAAAATGTCACTCATTTGTGGAATGTAACAAATTTTTTTACAAAATTTAATGACAAAAATATAAACAATTTACGTAACTATTATGTGTAAGTGTAATTTATCAATTAAAACTTTTTATCTGACAATTTTTTTTTTTCTATTGGGAAAATAGAAAAAATTTTTTTTTCTATTATTATTAAATTTTGGAAATTTACAAATTTTTTTAGAAAATGTTGTCGAGAACAGGAGAAATTCGTTGAATTACCAAAAAATTGTTTTGGTCCATCAATCATGTGTCGTCACTGTGGATCATTTTGGAATAAAGTTAAACACAGAAATCGTTTAATTCCAAGTAAAGTAATAAAAAAAAAATTCAATTTCGAAGAAAATGATAAACAATTATCAAAATTTCGTTCATCACTTGCACGTAAATGTTTACGTGGCAAAATAAATAAAATGATTATTAAATGTTTTGTATGTTCAAAATATTCTCAAATTCCACGTAATAAACCAATTAAATTAAATAAAAATAAATCACTAAATCAAATTAATAATAAAGAAATTCAACAATCAAATAAGAAAAAAAAGAGACGATCAAAAGATAAAACTGCCGGTTTAAATATATCATTATCAAATTCATTTGTATCAACTCCAAATAAAATTTCAACACCAATTCAAAAAGAAAGAAAAGAAATAAAAAAAGTATTAACGCCACTTGTAAAAGTGAAAAATATCAATAAAGAAAGACTCAGTAATATTTTAAATAACGATAGTGGAAAAAAAAGAAATAGTTTAAGTAATTTTTTGAAAGAACTTTATTAATTAAAAAAAAAAAAACATAATTTTTAGAAATATGTATTTTTATAGTACAAATAACGCTAAAATTTTTTTTTTTTTATATTACATTGTATGAATTTATTCAATTAGTCAATTTTGATAATTGAATATTAAATATACAGAAACTTATTTCTAATCGACGATTATATAATAATGTAAATTATATATATAATTGATTGTATCAAATCAATTGAAAATAATAAATGCCTATATTTAATATTTGTCGCATTTATCATAAGATGAAATATTCCATTAATAATACTTTAATTGACAAATTACTACTCCAAAGGTATTTCTTGTTTCACAGTCTGTAACATAAATTTTTTTTTTTAAACAATCATTTTAGATACCTATTTTTTCGGAAATTGTCGAACGGAATGATTTTTTCATTTTTTTTTTTTTGAAATCACCTGAATGCAGGCCATGAGGTAATCATGTTCGGACATTTCCTGATCCTTGGCAGGTGGGACTTTTCCCCGGCGGCGCAACTCTTGTTTAGCGTCGTTCAAATCAAAGATTGAAACTGGATCCAACTTGCCTTTGAGCACCAAACCAGCCAAATATTCAATGTAGTGCTGCCTGCGGGGAAAAGTACCCAATTTTAAATTTTCTCATTCACTAAAATTTTTTAATTACCTCCAATAAATCCCTTTCATAGTCAGCTTGATTGCGTCCATACCAATTTGCCGGAAGTTTTTTACCAGCGCGCAATATACATGTCTCAAGATCGTCAATATTTAATAATTTTAATGGTTCCACTTGCGATAAACGAATTTGATGAACTAAATATTCGATGTAATGAGTCCTGCATCAGCAAATGATTCTGGACTTATTTATAGATTTTATAAATTTTTTTTTTTTTTTTTTGGAATTTGTTTTATTACAACAAATTTTTATTAGCCTAATATTTTTGTTAAATTAAACATTAAATTTGTCTATTTTGCTATTATTTATTTAGATTTACGTATCTTCGATCCATAGAACCTCATTGCTCTATAAATCTTCGAGCCATAAATTCTTTATTGATAATTACATTCATAAATTTTTGTTCTATGAAAATGTAAATCACCAGATTTATAAACTCATAGAACATAAATTATAGATTAAAAAAAAAACATAAAATTTACGAAAAATTTTGTTAATTCAATTTGAAATTTGAAAAAAAAATATTTTAATCCAAAAATATCAAAAAATAGCTATTATTTAAAAAAAAAATTTTTTTTTTTCAATTTTCCAAGTCTAGCATTAATTCAACATAAAATTTATTCTTGAAAAATATAATCATTTTTAAATATTTGTACTGAAAAAAAAAATTTTATTTGATTCAAATAATCGTTTACTTGACTATTATTAAATTAATTATTTTTATTTGAACCAAATAATTTTTATTTAAACCAATAATTTTCTGTATTTGAAAAAAATACTATCTCAAATAATAATTATTTGATAGAAATAAATATTTATTTGTTATACTGAAAAAAAAATTTATTTACTACAAATACTCGTTTACTTGAGTATTATCAAATAAATATTTATTTGAATCAAATAATTTTTTATTTAAATTAAATAAACTGTATTTTGTACTAATAATTTTTGTATTTGAAAAAAATAACATCTCAAATAATAATTACTTGATACAAATAAATATTTATTTGATAATATTCAAGTAATCGAGTATTTGAATCAAATAAATTTTTTTTTCAGTGTAATAGTCAAAATAATCGATTATTTGAATCAAATAATTTTTTTTTGAATTTGTGAGTAAAAACACCTATTTTTGAATTTGAAAATTGAATTATTTTTTTTCTAAATTTTGAAAATTTTAATTCTTTCTTTTCGTGCCGAAGTAGGCAGTTTTTTTTTAAATAATAATTTTTTATTTCCAAATTAAAAAATCGTATTTTTGAATTTAAATTTTCATTATTTTGAATAATTTTGCAGAAATTGCAAAATGTAAGAATTTCTTTTTTGCTCTGATAATTTTAATTGTAATTGCATTTGAGTCTCTAAAAATGTAATTTTTAAAAATTGAATCCGAAATTATTTTTTCAAAAAAATAATTTTTTGTAAAATTATTCGAAAAATTATTTTTTTGTAAAAAACAACTTTTCGCAAATGATCATTGATCTATAAATTCATAAATTGTTTACTAAAAAAAAAAGGAAATTTTTTAAATTATAGGTATATTTATATATTAATACCTGCATAAGCCAGCATGACCTTCTATGACATCAGAATTACAAGTAGTGTCAACTAATTCTGTAGGCGTTTCCTTTTGAAGTTGTACTTTACATTTACGTTCGCCTATTGGTCCATTGATATTAAATTCAATACCACTTTCCTTTAACAATTGTTGCAATTGTTCAGGTTCTTTGTCGCGAAGATAAAATAAACAATTTCGCGGATGATGTGCATGAAGACCTAATTTTGCACAATATACACTGACATCACATTTTGCTCCCATTACAAATGTTTTTCCACAGCCGCAACAAAATTCATATTTACATTGATTACATGTAAAATGCATACATCCTGTAAATAGAGAAAAAAAAAATTTAAACATTAGTTATACAGGGTGTCCCGGGCGAGCGCGAACATATTTCAGACTCCAAAAATAGTAAAATTTACTTCAGAAATAGTAAAAATTACTACGGAAACAGTAAAATTTACTACAGAAATAGTCAATTTTACTATTTTTGGAGTAAAAGTTGCCAGAGATGCGCAGAAACTTCGGACAGGTCCAATTTTACTTTTAAAGTAGTAAAAGTTACTTTTTCTTTTTTTCCGTGTAGAAAATAAAATTTTAAGAAAAAAAGTACTGAACAGTTTTTAAAAATTTTTTGTAGTTTTTGAGTTATTCAAAAAGAAAAATCGCTCAATCAGACGCGCCAGACTGCTGTGCATTGTCCATTGTCCCGAATTGTCACTGTCCCGACATGACAATGTCCCAAATACTCGTTGTCCTGAATGTAATCATGGAAAAAATTTTCCCTCCCCTAAAATTTTACCATGGTATTGTTTGAAACAATGCTAATTCGGGACATTAGAAATTCGGGACAATATCAATTTTAGGAGCTTGACAAATCCAGACATAGACAACTAGGACATTAGAAATTTGGGACAATGATAATTTAGGACATTGGGAGTTCGGGACAATGACAATTCGTAACATGTTCAATTCGGGACAATTACAATTAGGGACGTTGACAATTCAAGACAATGAAAATTTGGGACATTGTCAATTTATGACAATGACATTTCGGGACGTTGACAATTTGGGATATTGGCACTTTGGGAAATTAGCAATTCGGGACATTAATAATTTGGGACATTGACAGTATAGGACACTGTCAATTCCGGACATTGACACTTTGGGACATTATCAATTCGGGACATTTACCATTCGGGACGTTGGCGATACGAAACAAGACAATTAGGGACTTCAGCAATTTCGGAAGATGACAATTACGGACCATGACAATTCGGGACATTGGGAGTTCGGGACAATTACAATTCAAGACAATGAAAATTTGGGACATTGTCAATTTATGACAATGACATTTCGGGACATTGACAATTTGGGATATTGGCACTTTGGGAAATTAGCAATTCGGGACATTAACACTTTGGGGCATTGACAGTATAGGACACTGGCAATTTGGGACATTCACCATTCGGGACGTTGGCGATTCGAAACATGACAATTAGGGACTTCAGCAATTTCGGAAGATAACAATTAGGGACCATGACAATTCGGGACACTAAACATTTGGGACACAGGCATTACTGGCCATTATCAATTCGGGACAATTACATTTCTTAAAATTTTATTTTCTATCTATTTCTGAAATATGTTCGCGCTCGCACGTGACACCCTGTATATATTTGTTTATATAATTTTCGCTTACCTCCTCTTGATAAAGAATATTTAAATTTACAATTTGGACAATCAATTCCATTGTCTGCTAAATGTTTTGCAAGACCCGCTTCCTGATTGTCGGGATCATTTTTATCTTTCCATTCAGCAAATTGATTACAATTAATTCCCTCGTGTTGTTTTTCCCACTAAATAATTAGAAATGAAATTTGAATTTTATTGGAAAAATCAATTTTAAAAATTTTACTAACCGGTCTTCGGCAAATAGCGCACGTAATCGATCGACAATCAGGACATGTTAAACGTTTTTGATTTGGATCTGCGTAAAATCCACTTGAACACTAAAAAAAAAAAAACATTTTATAAAAGCAAAATTTTCTTCTTTAAAAATCTTTCAAATATATAGCTGAGATAAATTTTCTTTTTACCTGAACGCACCACTTAAAATTTGGATCTTGCATTAAAGTTCTGTCTCTAAGTTTTCTTTGAAATAATTCATGAATTGGTGGATCCAAAAATGATTTTAATTGTATATCCAAAATACTGAAATATTCTAAAATTTCATCCTCAGTTGCATTAATTAAATCAGGTTGTTTACAATATGGACATACAGCATCTGTTATACTTCGATCGCTTATTTGAATGGTGAAATAATTTTTTGCACAATCAGTACAACAACGATGAGTACATTTAAGCATTGATATCATCTATTTAATAATAATTTTAATTCATAATAATTAATAATGAAATTGATATTATAAAATCAAAAATAATATATATATAGAAAAAATTTTTTTTTAATCAAACCTCATTCATTGATAAACGATTTGTGCATAATTCACATTCTTGTTGTAAAAATGCTAATGCTGATTCAACACTGGAACATTCTTTTGCTGCAAGTAATGCCTCTAAATCACTAAATTTAAGTGCCATTAATGTTGCTGCTATTTCGGCTTCATTATAATTTGCAACTCGACCCTCTGCTAATAATTGACGTGCAACTCTCTGTAAAAATTTTTCTTTTAAATAATTCAAGTGACATACAACATTTTTTTTTTTTTTTTTGTTAAAATCAACATTTCGGGTTTTTTATTTTACACAAATGAAAACTTATTATTTTCATTTGTATTACACAGGACGACAAGATTTACTTTCCATGAATCAGACAATATTTTTCCAAAGGTTTTACGACATGCTGAATCCAAATCCGGTCTCAGAATTAACCCTGCAGGTTTTCGAGATATTCTAATCAAACCCCCCCCCGTTTTTTAACAGCATTTCAGGTCATCAAGAGATAATTTTTTTTTCCAAATGTTTAATATTGGATCTGAAAGTGCTATTTTTCCCCTTTAAAACCAATTGTGTTTTAATAATCTTCATTTGTCTCTTGAGTAATTGTTCATTCAATTTTCTGAGTTTGTCGAATTCTTCGATATTCCAAAACTGAATAAGAATAGATAAAACTTTAATAATACCGAAGAATATAAATATAAACATCTAAATTTCAAATAGTTTTGCGCAGATTTTCGGTATAACTGAACACGAATTCAATGACAGATTTTCAAAATTCAAAATGGCGGATTCAATATGACGGACGATATTTTTTAATATCGAAGAATTCGCCATACTCAAAAAATTGAATGAATGATTACTCTGAAACAAATGAAGATTTTTAAAATTTTCAAAATAGGTTTTAAAGGAGGTCGGTAAACCTGGAAGTACCACTTTCATAAAAAAAGTTTTTACATATGCCAACATTTAGGGCTCAATTAGGACTAATTTAGTACCACATGCAAAAATTTAGGGCCCTTTACCCATTTAAAATAACCCTTGGTACTGCTAGCTTGACGTCAAGCTGGAAGTACCAGCATTTTTGAACACCAAATGTAGTTTTTTTAAGAGTTCTAAATTAGCCCTAAATTCCTAAGTATTTGTTTCTTCAAAAAATTAAGTTTGAACTACTCTGGGGTAGTTTTTAAAGTTGGTGCATCTTTTTTGAACATCCAATGTAGTTCTATTTAAGAGCCCTAAATTAGCCCTAAGTTCTTAAGTATTTATTTCTTCAAAAAGTAAAGTTTGAACTACTCTGGGGTAGTTTTTGAAGTTGGTGTATCATTTTTGAATAACCAATCTAATTATATTTTAGAGCCCTAAATTAGCCTTAAATGCGTATGTGTTTGTTTTTGAAAATATTGAGTTTTAACTAGTTGAGGGTAGTTTTTGTGGTTGACTATCTATTAGTTACTTGGCTGGGGTGGTTGGGGTGCACTTTTAAAAAGTGAATTTAGTGCTATTGAAGAACCCAAATTTACACGGAAAAAATTAATTCAGTATATTTTACAAAACTGTGACAGAGTAGCGGATACAGCTCTTTACGAAACAGAGTTTTGTAAAATGTGATGGATATTTTCGGATAAACTACAGAAATTTTATTGTTTATACTGAATATTTCTGAAGTTTATCCTGAATATTTAGTGACATTTTACAACACTCAGTTTCGTAAAGAGCTGTATCCGCTACTCCGTGATAGTTCTGTAAAATCTACTGAATTAATTTTTTACGTGTAGCTCTTAATTCCTATATGATTATTGTTTGATTAAATTGAGTTTAAATAATTGGGGATGTTTTTTTGTACTTAGGGGTGGTTTTTAAAAATTTTAAATAGTTCCAGTTGAGAGCCCTAAATTCCTATTGAAGAAATTTTGAAAAATATTTAGGTTCTATAGTGTGGTACTTCCAGTTTGACGTCAAGCTAACAGTACCAAGGGTTATTTTAAATGGGTAAAGGGCCCTAAATTTTTGCATGTGGTACTAAATTAGCCCTAATTGAGCCCTAAATGTTGGCACATGTAAAAACTTTTTTTGTGGAAGTGGTACTTCCAGGATTACCGACCTTTTTAAAGGGTAAGAATAGCAGTTTCAGATGCAATATTGACCTTTTGGAAAAAAAATTGTCTTTTGATGTTGAATGTCCTCGAATGTAGTTAAAAAATAGAGGTTTTTTTTGCAGGGTTTTAGGTTAGAATAACTCAAAAACATGGTCAATTCTGAGGCCGAATTTTGATTCAGCACTTTGAAAATCTTCGGAAAAGTGTTGTCTGATTCTTGGAAAGTAAATTGAATCAAATTTTATTGGCCTGTATTATTTTTGTTAAATTTAATTATTTTAGCAAAGAAAAAAAAAATTACATATTAATTACGATAAACTGAATTTATATCTCTAAAAAACACACCAACGTCTATAAATGAGCTGATTGGAATACAATATAGAATTAATAAAACAATCTTCAATAATCATGCATTTATAATTAATTGGGGGGAATTATTTTTATTGGCTCTATATATTAGTAATGAAAGTTAGCTTATGATTTTTATCGAGCTCTTTGTAGACATTGGATTTGGGAAAAATTAATTGGATGATTGACAGACATTTTTCTTCGAGCGACTTTTTTTTTTTTTTTTTTTTTTTTTTGAATTTACTGACCTCCCTTTCGATTATTATGGGAGACTCCTTGTTGATATTCTTCCTTTGTCTAGATTCCTTGACAGCAATTTTTTTTCTTCTATTTAGCTTTGTACTTTTTCCTTCAAATTGTTGAACATAACTTGCGACCATTGAATATTTCTTCTTAAATTTATCATTTTTTTCTATTTCTTTATTGAATAGAGAAATTTGTCTACTATCTAATTGATTTTTGGGAAAATATTGCCTTTGTGTTATTGCATCTATTGATTTTGGAATATCTTCACTTTCACGATCGATATTTTCAAGTAAATATAATTTAGCTGTTGTTACTGTTGATATATCATCAGTTTCTTCAAATGGAGATGTTTGTTCTCTTAATAATGAATCAGATTCTGATTCTGCAATTTGTTTATCATTATTAATATTTGATATTGTCTCTGGAGAATTTTCATAATTTGATTTATCTTCATATTCAGATATTTCGGCTTTTATTTTTTTTAATGTTTTTTCAAGTAGATAATCGGCGTTTGCTAATATATCGAGGGAATTGTGAGAATTATTTGAATTACACGATGATTCTTCATTGAGTGATGAAAGTGATTTTTCTGAATAAGATTCTTCGTCAAATTCTTCTTTATCCAATGTTTCATCAAGAGTTTCATCAAGAGTTTCATCATATTCTTCATTAAATGTTTTTGAATTATTTGGAGAATTTTCTTGGGATTTTTCATTTAATTCGATTTGTTGATCATCTTTGGATTTTTGAAATTCTTCATCGCTCGAATTTGATGATTCTTGAGAAATTAATTCTCCTTTTATTATTTCTTCACTATGAGAAGTTTTTGAATATTGTTCTTTTTTTTCATTTAGATGATCTTTTGAAATAATTTTTTGAATGTCTTTATCGATAGAATTTTCTGCGGATGATTCTTTATAAAATTTTTCCTCTGTTATTTCTTCAAGAGCAACATTTTCATGAGTTGTTTTAGAACATTGTTCTTTTTTTTCTTCAATTAATTTATTTTGATGGTCTTTTGATATAGTTTCTTGGATAATTTGTTCGTTTTTACTTTTTGTATTAATACTTAAAGATGCTTCTGAAATTGATTCGTATTCAGAATTACCAGAATCAGAATTCGATTCCATTGGTGATGGATTGTTTCTATTTTTATTTTCATTTTTTGAATCAACTATGTTTGCATTTAAATTATTTGATTCTTTTGCAGTATTTAAAATTTCTTTAATAAATAACGTTTGTTTTTGATCAAATAATTGAATTTGATTTTCCTTTATTCTTTTTTGTTGAGGAAATACGGAACATGGTGTTGATAGTTTAGGATCTATTTGTTTTTGAATTTCTATTGAAATATTTTGTGCCGGTATTCGTTTACAACTTTTCATTACAGGAATTTTTGATGGTACAGTACCTTTGAGTTTTGTACAATTTGCATTAATTGAATTATCATCATTTAAGGATTGCATTAAATTATTAATTTTCAAATTATTTGTTTTTTTGTTTTTTAAAATTTGATATGCTTTTGTTTTTTTAACAATTTTCGAAACATTTTCACTATTTATATTTTGCTTTTTAATATTTTCACGAAATATTGATGTTTCTGCAATAGGTATCCTGGAAATAATTTTTAATTTTTTGTCCTTTGGATTTATTGTTTGTGGCATTGATTTTTTTGGTGCTGATTTTTTAATTGATTTTACAGGTGATCTTCGTCCGAGAATTTTTTTTATTGGTGATTTTGATCTTGCTTTATTATTCGTTATTTTAGAATTTGTATGGGAATTGAATTTTGTTGTTTGTTGTAACATTTTTCGTGGCTTCTCAATTTTTTTATTTTTCTCAATATCTGTTAAGAAACTTTTTCTACGTATTGAATTTGTTATATTATTTTTCTTAAATTTTTTAAGTGAATTTTTGTTTATAGGAACATTTGAATTTGTAATTGATTCTTTAACAATTGTAGTTAAAAATTCAGATGTTTTGACTAAAAATGATGTTTTCTTATCAGATTTACTAGCTGATGCAATAGAATTTGGTATATTTTTATCAGTTAAATTTTTATTTGAATTAATTTTTGATGTTACTACAGTATCATTGATAGGTTCGTTTATTGAATTTTCTAAGGGGTCATTAATTTGACGATTACTATTGTCTGAAATACAATTATCATTTACGGAATTTTCATTTTGTTGCAAATTGTTTGTTATTTCATTTTTGATATCTTGAATAATTACATTTGAAGGAGATAAGTTATTTTCATTATTAGTTTTACTGCTACTAATTTTATTAATTTTATTAGTAGAATTTGAAGTAGTTATAGTAGTAGTGTCAGTAATTATAGTATTAGTAGTTGTAGTAGAAGTTGTATTAGTAGAAGCAGTAACATCAGCAGTAGCTTTATCAGTATCAGTTAAAATAGCAGCAGTACTATTATCATTATTGTAAATTTTAACAGACAAAGATGATTTAAAATTTTCTTCGTTATCAAAAATAGGTTCAATAGTCTGATCTGTAGTGATAATTTTTTCTGAAAAATTTGACAGAATTGTGAAAAAAGAACTTTTTTTAGATTTGGAGATTTCGACTTTTTTCTCTTTTAATGAATTTTCTAAAATAACATTGTTTGAAATTGAATTTATTTCAGATAAAGATTTGGATTCATTTTCCTTGAAATTATTTGATAAAGCAGCATAAGACAAAGAATTATCTTCTGTTTCTATGAGTGTGTTATAATTTTGAAAATTGGTATTTATTGAATTAGTAGAATTTTTAGATTTTTCATCGAATTCAAAAATTTGTAATTTGGTTTCTTCATTATTTTCATTTTTAACTAGATTGTGCATTTCAGAATTACATTTTGAATGTTTTTCTTCTGAAGAACAATTTAATATTATAGTAGCCTGTGACGTTTGATTAATATTCATTTCAGTAATATTTGTTTTTGGATTAAGATTTGATGCTGGGATTAAATTTTCAATATAAACACTAGTTTCAACTAATTTTTCAGCAATCTCTGTACACGAATCATTTAAATTTTGATTATCTTTATTAGTTTGTTCTAAAAGTGTTTCTGAAGTAACATCTGAACAATCTTGTTCCATTTGTAAAATTTCTATTGATGGTACAAATATATCTTCTTTTTCAAATTCTGCTATTTTCAAATCATTCTTATTCATCATTTGATTATTAGAAAACTCTAATGTTGAATTTATTTTCTGTTTTACTTGATTCATTTGAATAAAATTTACATATATTGGCGATGTAGTTTGATCAGTTATTTGTGTATTATCTATTTCAATAGACTGATAAGTGTTAGAAATGATTTGTGATTGATCGATTAATTGCTGGTTCTGCATTTCAGAGATAAATTTTTCATCAAGATTTTCATTTGGATGAGATAATTTTTCATCTATTTGTATAAAATTTTTTCTATTATCCAAATTATTGATCAAATTAATATTGTTACTTGTATTCGATACTTCATTTTTGAATTCCCAATTACCACTCCCTTGTTGTTGATTATCTATTTGCTGATGAAAGTCTGCCTGCAATGCCACGAAACGTTCTAGTTTTGAAGACATTACCTGCTTCTTATCTTCTGAGTCCAATTCATCCTCAATCTGTTTAGTACTTCCTTCTGAATCACTTGATGAACAAATTTTTCCTTCTGAAATATAGAAAATAGTTATATATCAGGGATTTTTAATATTTTTAATTTCTTTTAAATTCAACTAACCATGATGAGTTGCAATCTCATCATTCTCCACACCAGTGGATGGACCCCAAATTCTCATTAGAAAAGGTTTTAGCTGAGACTTTTGTAATTCAAGAAGTGCAACTTCCTCAATTCCTCCATTCTTATTAAGTGCATTGACTACATCCATTAAGGTAAAAGAGCCCTTGGACATAATACTATGGCACTAAAATATAAAAAAAAATAATATTGTTTCTATATTAGATTTGAATCAGATTTAATGACAAATCGTACTTTATGTTGACGTAGTTGAATAGCATGACCAACGGCATTCCATAATTCACCTTTGGATAATCTTAATGCAATTTTAGCTTCTGTTGTTGAAACATTTCTAACGCAATTTTCCGTTTGCTCTTGACCTTGTGATGATGCCAAAATTTGTACTGTCTCCACTAAATGTGGCCATTGTGTTGTTAACCATTCAATTGGATTTTGTTCATCTTGCGCTAATGCAACTTGAACATCATCAGTTGAAAAGCCACGTTTTTCGGCCTCACGTAATAATTGAACAATTTCTAAACCCTGACGAGTTAATGTTGACATACCTTGAACTGAATTACCACCTGAATCACTAAATATTGATTGATTTGGTTCCTGAAAGAAAAAAATTTTACAAAAATTAATTTCAACTTTTCCTTTTTTTAAGACTTATAGTTTAGCAAACATAGCTTTTAAATGGGGGGAAGGAAATTAATATTGCATTTTCACACCGAGGCTATACACATAAAAAGAGAAACTAAAGCGTTAGATATCCTATAAATAGTTACATATAAAGCGATTTTCTAATTTAAAAAAAAAAATGGTTTCTTTTAAGCGAAATTTTACCATATAGTAATATTGTAGATGAGGAGAATTGCCTATTGATGTAATTCGATCTCTTCCGTATAATAAAGATTGATAATTATTATTTTTGTGGTGGTGAACATAAGGGTCAGGGTTGTTGATAAATCTGCTGTCCTGAAAACAAAGCTTACATACATTATTTTTTTCTATCAAATATAATTTTAGTTTTTTTTTAATTGTTCAGAAAAGGTATGATGTTCCATTCTTCTTTTATCCTTATGAAAATTAAATCAAAAATTAAAATCTGAGATTGCGCCCCGAGGCTGCATTTGTTTGTTCATATGGTAGAATTTAATTCTAATTGCTAAACTAAGTGGCATAGATTATTAAAATTGTTTATTATCTAACGAATTTTTTTTTTTTTGTACACTAATGAAAGTTGGAATTTATTGGTGTGTAATATATATTTAGGTGTACCTCAGAGTCATTGTCATCACATTGTACAGAATTGTTGGAAAAACTGGATTTTAATGGGCTCTTGTTGTCTTTAAAAATTGTTTCCTCATAAGTCTGTAATAGTATAGAATATTGAAAACAGATTTTTAACAAAGAAATAAATATGTAGAAAAAATTCACCTGAGTAGACATATCTTGTGGTGGTGGTGATGTTCCAGTTGAAACAGTTTTCCCTTCATCTGTTAATGATTCGGTATTTTTGCTTTCTAACTCAGTTTCTTCAGGTTGAGTAAATTTTTCCAAATTATCATCCTTTTGATTTGCTTCATTATCTTTTGTTGTCCTATCAATGGCTAGTTTGGAATTAATTGTCATTGGTTCATTATTAGAATCAATATTTGATTTGTTTAGCGATACATTTGGTGATATTTCTTTTGTAATTTCATTGTTTGCTGATGAATTTATTTCTGTTGCATTGCAGTCTGTATTCTCAGTTTCAATTTCTAGACCTGTAAGCCAAAAGTAAATTGTTACTCAGCAATATTGAGGAAAAATTTGAAAATTTCTACAATTTTTAGTTGCTGGGTAAATAATTTTTAGTAAGAAGAACTTACCTAAATTTTTTGTAAAATTAAACTGTAACTAATTAAAAATTTTAATTAAGGCAATTCACTCTTAAAATACACTGGAACATCAATAAAACGTTTAAAATTAACGATAAGGTAAAACATTCTCAAAAATTCTCTAATATCTAAAAGGAAAAATAGTTTTTCATAATAAAAAAGACATGCAGGAAAACAAAATTAGCTAGTGGTTTATAAAATTCAAAGAGGATTGAACAAATGCACAACCGTCCTTGAAATATTAATATTAACTACTTGAATGAATAACATATTGTTTAATTTAAAAATTTTTTCAAGTACGATTATGCATTTGGTGTGAATGTGATTTTCATTTGAGAATACAAATGCCAATTTATTATTCATTCAAGAGTATACAATATTTTATTATAATTTTAGATAATTAACTAATTATTATTTTTACGCACAAAAAGACATATTCATTAAAAAAAAAATTTTTTGCACATATATGTATATATAAAATAAAATGTTTCCATTAATACTGATGTAATCAGTAGCTCTTCATTTTGAAGAGTGTATTTCGATTTTTAAATAGAAAATGAAAAATTGTTTTTGAAATTATTCAAGTTTATATCTTGGATAATTCCTTAAATTAGAATCTTTTTTCTTATATTTTATTTGCATTGGTGTATTTTGTTGGGGGAAAAAATAAAAAAAAAAAAGCTATTTTGATGACTTAGTGCCAAAGGAAAAACTAATTTTTCTCCTAAGTCTACCTTTTTTCTTAGTTGTACTGACATCACTGATGTTCTCTTCAACTGGTGATAATTTTAGATTATTCAATTTTTCTTCTATAATTTTTGATGAATTGATAGTTTTTTCATTTGTTGGTAAAATAATTGATGAATCATTTGTTGTTTCTGGAATTGGAGAACAAGAAGGAGGTGGAAGTGCACTGCTTCGTGTTTTACAACAAACAATACAAACACGTTCCTTAGCTTCATTGATGAAGGTACAATGTTCGCAAGCCCATTTTTCTGATTTTGTATTTATTTTTTTGTTTATTTCTTGAACAATTTCAATTGTTTTTTCTGTTTTTGTTTCTTTCTTTATTTCTTGATTTGTTAATATTTGAATTTTATTATTATTTTCTTGAGCAATTTGTTTGTCTGTTAGTGGTTTATTGTTTGATGTTTGAAAATTAGAATTTATTTGTTCTTGTTTCAAATGACTTTGAGTTTTAACAAATTCTTTTTTAATCTCCCGATCAAGAGATGATGATCTTTTATGAGGATTTATTTTTAATTTTTCTTGATGAAGACGATTTTCAAGCTCTTGTAATTTGTGTTGTCTTTCTTTTTGTTCTGACAATCGTTCATTACGATCCGTATAGTCTTCTGATGAACTTGTAATTTTTGATGGTCTTCTTCTTCTATTAATTCTATCATCGTCTGTACTTAATTCACGATGACGTCTTCTGTGATCTCTTTGATTATTCGATGATGATTCATCTTCCTGTAACGATGATGATGTTCTAAATCTTGGTGAATCTTCGTGTTGGTATTTTTTAGATGATCTAGTTGAATCTTTTAAATTTCTCGATGATGACCAATTTTGTTTTGATAATTTTTCCGACCATCCATCATCGGCGCTATTTATTCGATCCTCAGATCTCCAACCACTGATTAAAAGAATAAAAATGATAAATTTTTAGTTTAAGATTTGGTTTTGATATATACTTACTCTCTTCGATGTCTTGAAAGTAGAGATTTATTTCTGTCTTCATTGTTGGTTTTTAATTTATTTCTAGAAATATCATGAATTTTTCTTCGTGAACCACGCGAAAGTCTATCATCAAATTCAGAATCATCGGAATTTTCTGAACTCGCATCGGAATTGGGAGATATTCTTCTTCTCGATCTATAGGCTGTTGATTTTCTCGATTTTATACTTTGCGATGGTGATGCTTGTCTAGATCTTCTGCTTGATTTAATACTGCGAGCAGGACTGTGCGATCGTGATAAAGTTGCTGGATTATGAAGTAGCATTTGAGGTTGAGGATAACCCATTGGATAACCCCACATTGGTAAATGATTAAGACTCATTGTTGATCCACTCAATGTTGGCTCCCAAGGATTTGGATACCAAATCATTGGCGATGCTAATTGTGCTAATGATTGTGCCTAGAAAGTAAAATCCCATTAAAAACTTTGTATTTATAATTAGGTATTTTTAAGAGATGAAAATTTTGATTTTACTTGTTGCATTTCGGAGTTCCACATATTTGGAGCTGATAAATCACAAACACTAGCTGATTGCATAATATTTCTAACAGGCAATGATGGAGAGGATGTTAAACTATGCCTTGGACTGCTCATTGGTTTAGGACTCATTGTTTCCCTTGATGAATCTGAATGTGGTGGTCTTCTTCTATTTGTATCCTGGGCTCTCATTGCTTCCTGATATCTCCTATATCTTTCCTATAAAAAAAAATTATTTTGATTCAATTATATTTTGTTACAAAAATAAAAGTGGTAAAATAGAAAATATACCTGAAGTGTTGACATTTTATCTGTTCCAACTGATGTTGTTGTTGTTTGCGTCAAAAGAGGACTTTTTGAACGATTATCTGGAATCGATGGCAGTGGTCTTGTTGCATTGATCGAATTTCTTTTTAAACTTGCTGCTTTATCGATCGATAGGGGAAAATTTGCAACCCCTTGATTTATTATTGCTTTTACCTAGGCGCGAAACTTAAAAATTTACTACCTTTTGGCTTATAATAGTAATAGAAAAAAAAATAATTGGGTTAAAAAAGGAAACTTTTCCATAAATATAGGGCTGCGATTTTTTATTTCATGGTTCCGGTGTTGAGAAATTAATTTTTTTTATATTGTCTTAAAAATTATTTATTTTTAGAAGAAAAAAAAAATTTAAGAAAACTTGTTTCTAAAAACCCTCGGTGTGAAATAATATTTTTCAAGTCGAATAGGAAATAGGATTCAAAATTCGGGACGAGTTTAAGAAAATTAGATAGTTGAATGAACTCATTTATTTCATTTTTCTTATTGTAAGTTTTCTTTGTTTTTATATTTTTTTTTATAAATATTGGCTTTATCACAGCCCTATGATTAAAAATCTATTCTCATCGAGATATTTGTGTTGCATTTAAGTAGAGACACTTATGTTGCAAAATATATGAATTTTTGAAATAAATAAAAATTTATTAAAATAATAAATAATAATTTTTGGATAAAATAATTTTTTTTTGATATTTAAATCACTGCACACCCTACCTGTGTGTTTCTACGATTTCGTCGTGGTGGTGGAACAGGTGGTGGATTCATTGAATTTTCTCCCTTTGGCGGAAGTGGTGGTTTTACTCGACCCCCAGCATCAATTTCAAGTTTTCGTCTATTGTGATTTTTTCGTTTAGGATGTTTGTGATTCATCTCATCGCATACGTCACAATAATTTTCTCTACAAAAGTCACATCTTATTGTTACTTTCTCAGTGCCACATAGGGCACATTTTCCAAAGATAATATTTTTTGAAATATTATTATTATTATTATTATTATTTTTTTGTGTATTGGTATTGGATAATGTATTTTTAGATGGAATTTTATTATTTGGTGGTCGTGGTGGAAATTCAATGACTTCATAATCGGGATCACCACAATCTCCTGTTAATGATGGTGGAGGAATTTTAGGAATTGGAGGTGGTTCTTTCATTGATTTTTCTTCATCCTTTTGCTGTTGTGCCTGTGGGGAAAAAAAAATTATTTCTACATTTTTTGGTAAATTCTAATTTTTTTGATGATTAAAATTTTTATTACCAGCACCCAATGTGGCATGGAACGAGCTACTCGTAATCGTGATGATGGATTTGAAATGACCATAGGTCGCCATTTATCTGTACTGAAATTCTGTAAAAATTTTTAAATTTTTACTTTTTTTTTTAAATATTATTTTTTTTTTTTTGAATTACAAAAGTAGTTAAATTTATTTTTATTATGGTTAATTATCTTAATTGCGGATATTTATGCGCAGTTCAATAATCTTTGAAATATGCTTTAGCTCCACTTGGTTTAATGATCACATCAAATTGTCTTACACGCTTGGTACCAAAATAGTACCACTTTCACTCTTCCTACATTCTTCCTGGTTAACACTAAAATTCTGCTGTGCGTTTCAATGAAACATTTCGTAATTGTTTTTGGAAATTTTTTTTTGAAACCCTTCGAAAAATTAATGAATGTGATTTTTATGACTCTAAATTTTTTTTTAAATTCCATTTTTTTGTTTAAAAAAATGAAAACAAAAGAAGTAGAAAAATTTTTAAAGGATCCGGAACATAAACTGATATTAAAGTAGTTTTATTTTAAATTCATTTTATTGATTTGTAATTTTAATCCACCTGTTATCATCATGTACACTAAATTGTCAATAAATTCTTTTTCCACTTCTCGTAGGGCATCTGTATTATGAATTATATTTTATCTGAATTTAATAATCTTTGTGTTGTAATTTAGTTAGAAATCGAATAGTCCATATCTATTTTAAGCTCAGCCAGACTTTTTAGTACCATTGGACAGACCATGATTAGCTTGTCTAGTCTAAACCGAAGCGTGGATATATTTACAGTACCGGTTTTTGACTTTTTGACGCCCCGGGACGCTTATAAACAATATCTTAATAATGGCGTCTTATGTCAATTTTTACAAATTAAAATTTTAAAATCCATTTTTAATTCTCAATTTGGGTATTCAAAATTTCAAATTTTTTATTAAAAATTAAAATAACACCTGTTTTTAGATTTTAATAAATAAAAAAAAAATAATTCCGTCACTATCACTTATCGATGAAAAATTTTATTTTGGTACACTCGCGCTATATTTAATATTTTATGTATTTTTTTTTTTTTTTTTTTTCCCCATTGAATCAAAAATTAATAAAAATATATTTATTATTCTTATTATTTTTATTATTGTTATTGAAAATATTATTAATTATCGTCGATATTAGTTTCACTTTATTTAATTGAAAGAATATTACACTCACATTCATAACTCTTGGTCTCCAAGATACTGATGGGTTCTAGAAAGCTTGCAGACTCGTGGTATAGTCTTGATATCTATTTTCGTGACTTGGGTTGGACTCCTGCCACTATATTTCCAAGTCTCCTTGTTCCCGTAAATATAAGCTTTTTGACTTCGTTTTAATGCTTTTTGACCACATTCGGTATTATAAGGGAAAATAATAAGTACAAAAAATAATTGCGATCAAAAAATGCAGGATTAAAAAAAAAAAGACACAAATTTCTTCAGAAAAAAATTTTATTTCGTTCACAACGCTATTTCTATTTTTTTTTTTGAGCCTAAATCAGAAAATCACTTCATTTTTCATTTACAATGAAAAATGTCTTTTTAATTAAAAATCAGCTTTGCTTCTAATTCGCAAAAATTTATTTATGAAATTTATGAAAAAAAAATAATCGAAAAACAAATTCCATTTTTAATTCTACAGAATATGAAAATTGTTTTTAAAAGCGTTTTAACGTTTTTTTTTCTTACAAATCTTTTATATAACTTAAACTCCTGGAAAAACGTAAATCTTTTCCCTTTTTTTTTGAAATATATATAATATATCAAATATACAATTCATATGAATTGCTAAATGCTAAGTCTTAGAGCATATTATTAATATCTACACCCTTTTTCGATTTTTTTTATTCCTGCAACCCTAGCGCGATATAAAGAACGATATTTTACAATTCGGTACTTTTTGTATTTAACAACAAATGGAAGTACATTGAATATTCTTCAAATTCTTTTTTTTGTGATTTTTATGTTTCAGATCCCCTAAAAAATTTTGTTTTTTAAACAAATAAAAATTTTTTTTTACAAGGTCCGGAACATAAAAATCCATTCTGTATAATTTTTCAATAATATTTAATAGATAAATCATTTGGAAATATTGTCGTGAAAATTAAAATCTTTTTCGCTTCTTTTTTTTTTATTTTTAAATTTTTAGTAAAAGATAAAAATTTTATTTGAAAGAATTTGTGGAATATTAATGTACTTTATAGAAACGAAGTATATATATATATATATTTATATGGCCAGCCCGTAACGTTGAACAGGGCAATGCTATTTGGTGAAGGATCGATGTATTATGCATTTTTTGAGAATTAACGTTTATCTTTTCATTAAAATTATCTTTCATTAACTTTACGTACTCCTTTTATTTATTTATTTATTTTTTTATATCACTTACACGCAAAAAAAAATCGCTCTGTTAACAATTGACGGAAATTGACGCAATACGCAGTTTGTAAAAACATTTTAAAGAACTGGATTTTTAGCGTCATTATAGAGGAAAGAAGAAATCTTAGGAGACTTCTTTGGAACTCACTAGCCATATCGCTCGATTAAAATCGAACGAATTTATTATAATTTTCTTTTTAAATTAACAGAATGTCCGAGTTAATTGTCGAATTACTTCAATATATTCCATTTTATTTACATATCGAACAGTAATTGAAAAAAAAATTGTATTTTGTTTTTCTTTATAAAGGATTTTTTTTTATCGAATTTGACTTATTTATTATTATTATTTTGTACTATTGAAAACTATTTACAGTTAGTGAATTTTTATTTCTTTCTGCTATTGAAAATCGGAGAATATTTTACATATTTTTATTTTCATTCCTTCGGTAAACGATACAGGCACACTTAATTTTTTTTTTTTTTTTTCGTTAAAACTTTACAGGAACTTTTTTTTTAATATTACAAATTATGACTTGATTTATTAAAATTGCTTATGTTTTATCAATTTTCTCGGCCATTCTGTATTTATCGATGTCTCTCTTCAATCCAATATTTGAATCCTTTAATTTTTAATAAATTTTTGAATTATTTTTTTGCATTTTCAATTTTCAAGAAAAAAATTATTTGATTCAAATAATCACTTGACTATTATCAAAATTAAATATTTCACAATGTTTATGATCAACGATTTAGAAGGAAAAAAAATATTTTTCTATGCAAATTAGGATAATTTTTTTGTCTAAACAAATTTTTAAAAAATTTCTCGTTTAACAATTTGGAAAAAAAATAATTTGTTAGCAAAAAAAATTTTTATTTTCCATATCAAAAATTTAATTATTTTTTTTTTCAATCGATTATAAACATTGTGAACTTCACCCGACGTTATTTACTTGAAGCAAAAAAAAAAAAAAAATTTTATTTGAATTCTATTTTTGATATTTGAAACAAATATACACAATTTAATTGATTGAAATAATTATAAAATGAAAATAAATAAGTCAAGTAAGTGATTATTTAAATTTTTTTTTAAATTAATTTTTTTATGATAAAAATTTAAAAAAAAGGATTGAAGAAGGACATTTATGTTTTAAGCTCACTCAATTGAGATCAATCCAAAAATTGGACATTTAAGTACTAATGAAGAAACGAATTTCTCCTCCAGGTCCACAAATTAGTGTCGATTTTTTTTTCTTCATTTTTTTTTTTTGGCAATTTAGAGAATTATTTATCAGTGGACGTTGAAAAATAGAGAATCAAACGGCTCCATATTCTTCACTGGACGGAGATTCGTCACTAGGAGGTGGTTTTGGTGGTCTTGGAGGTCTCGGTGGTCTATGATGATGTAGAGTAGGTGCTGGTCTTCTTGGATGTGGTCCATAATTATTGTCATCACCATCTTCGCTACTTGGCGATGGCGATGGTGCTCTATCCTCTTGTTCTTGTAAAAGTTGCCGAAATTCTTGTATCGATTCATTTAGTGACCAGAGTTGTGACAATAGTGAAAGATCCAATTGTCGAAGACCAAACTGAAATCCAAAATAAAATCAATTAATTTAATTTTTTACTAACAAAAAAAAAAGGGAAATTTTTTTATTAACAAAGAAAAGAGGGAAAATTTTTTTTATTTATAGAAACTAAATAAAATGTTAAATTTGTTTTTGTTTTCTGATAATTCACACGAATTTTGTAAATTAAAATAAATGTTTTCAAAAGAGTGAAAGAGTTTAATGTTGTAGAACATATTTTCTTATCGTCTTTTCTAATTTAAAGCAAAAAAAATTTTCATTTCTTGTACGATTTACGGTAAATAGAGATTAAAACTGCGAATTATCAGAAATTACTGTTATCTAAAATGTCAGGTCTTATCTCGTTTGTTATTTTATTAGCAAAATTTTCTCAAAACTTCCCTGAAGAAGAATAATTGCAAATATGTATTTTATGCTTTTTTTTTCTTTTGGACTAGAAAAAAAACAGCCTATTAATTTTTTTACTGACAGAAGAATTTAACATTTCTAATGTATACTAAATTGTATTATAGAATCGAATTACGAAAGCGCAATGTTACATAAAAGTTGAACATTTTACAGCATCTCTTTCTCTCTTTCGGTGCATTCTCTGCGGTTTCCTCTTCCGATTTTCTTTTTTCTCGATTAAAATTCCAATTTTCATTAGTTAACTGTTTTTGAAAAAAAAAATATTGCTCTTCATCGCGTTGACTTTGCGAAACGTTCACTTTTCTTCAAAAGGTAAAGGTGATTTACGAGTTAAATAATGCGGTCCGCGCGTTGATCCGTGGGAATGCAAAAGGGAATGAGAAGCGAGAGAGAGAGAGAATTAGAATGAGAGAGGAGTGAGAGACAAAAGAACATGAGAAGAGAAGGAATCGCGAATAAGTGTATATAATATAATATACATAGAACGTGAAAGAATTATACAAAGAAGTAAAAGAGGAACGCGAGCCCAAAAAAGGAAGAGGAACTCTGAGAAATCGAGAGAAAGAGAGAGAGAGAGAAAGAGAAAGAGAGTGGCACGAACTGAAGGGTCACGCCTGAGGGAATGCAGCGTGGGAGCGGCTGTAGTAGTCTGTTCATGTCTGAATTACCTATCGGTCTATTATATTATTCACCTGACTTTGAATTTATGAAAAAAAAATTTCATATTTCCTCCAATCGATTATTGTCGACCTAACCTCAAAAAAGATTTAGTTGTTTTCATTAATGACACAGTAAAGATGAATTATCCAGATTGATAATTTCAATCCAATTCTGATTTGCTTAGGGAAAAAAAGGTATTTAGATCAGTAGAAGAAAATTACAAATAATTATATTGAATTACCTATCGATCTATTATATTATTCACCTGACTTTGAATTTATGAAAAAAAATGTCATATTTCCTCCAATCGATTATTGTCGACCTAACCTCAAAAAAGATTTAGTTGTTTTCATTAATGACACAGTAAAGATGAATTATTCAGATTGATAATTTCAATCCAATTCTGATTTGCTTAGGGAAAAAAAGGTATTTAGATCAGTAGAAGAAAATTACAAATAATTGATAAATATCCCAAATTGAGTTGAAAGTAGAGTCTTCTTTTAAATTGCGAAAATAAATTTTCGCCAGAATTTAAGGTTATGTAGCAGGTTTTACTCGCAAAGTAAATTTTTGTTTTAAGAAATCGAATATTTATTTTAAAAAAATTTATTTGAGAAAAACTGTAAATTATGTTTTTCTTCCAAAAAAAAATTTATTTTGCGAGAAAGCGGAGATATTTTAAGAAAATAATTTTCCGATTTAAAAAAAAGACCTGATTATTTTTCTCCTGAGATCTAATATAAATTATCTTTTATTCACTATTTCCTTGTGAAATAAATATTCATCGTGGAGTTTGCCCACGCGTTTGATGCAAAAAGCTAACGGATCGACAAGTCGTGAAAAGAGCGGATGCGGAAGACGTTGCGGGTGAAATAGGGAATATTGTGTATGGTGATAGACGAGGTCAGGAGAGAAAAATAATGTGCTCCATTTAAATGAAAAAAAAAAAAAAATAAATAAAAATAAAAAACAATTTCTATAGAAACTTTCCATTTACTAAAAGGTGCCGCGAGTAAAGATCATTCTACTCGCGTGTAGAGAAAGAGAAAGAGAATATACTTAAATGTCGCAAAAAAAGCCAGTTTGCAAATTGCTAATTTCATAAGTTATACGAACTGTAACAAATACAAAAGAAATGATATCTGATTTTACCTGGAAAATTGTCGAAGTGAAAAAAGGTTATCCAAATTTTGGAAAATAAAAAAACATTTCTTTTTTTTTTTTTGAGAAAGTTGAAAATCAAGTTTCATGGAATTCAAAATGTTATCAAATGCAAAGCAAGGTTAAAAAATGTCTAACTACCGGTCTAAATTTGTTTTTCAAATAAAAACAAAAATCTCCTTGTTTGAATACGTAATCTAGTTAGATTAGAAAATAGATTAATGACTTCCGCTTCTCAATATTATGCATTAGTGTTTGTATGGAAAAAAAAGTACAAAGCACATGTGCGCAGAATATTTATTAAACTATTTATTATTCTAGTCGCGCGTATCCTTGATTCAAAAGACAATTTTTCAATCTGCATTGTTTGAAGCACTTTATATATATATTTATAATTGAAAATTACAATTATAGAAATTTTCGATTTACTCTCAAGTGATTATATTTTTAGGCATAACTTCTTTCTCGTGTCCTTTTTATAGTTAGAAAATAGATGAAAATCAAATTCTGAAAATAGACCGGATGTTACTTTAAATAAATCGACTTTTATGTATATATAGTATGTAATTTATTTTTGGAAATAATTTCAACGAAAATAATTTCTTTTTTTAATTTTGGAGATAAATTCTTCCCTTTTAGTTTTCTTTGAAGGATAAAATTAATATTAATTTGTAATTTTTATTTACATTTCAGAAATTGGCAACCAGAGGAGGTTTTTGACGGTCAAGGAAATATAAAAAATAAGGAACAAAATGTGAGTTTTTATTTCCAATTTCTATACTTTCAAAAAATTTGAGAAAATATTTCTTTTTGCTATGATTTTTGTTTTTTAAATTGAATTAAAAATTAGAAAAAAAAATGACATTCACCATTTCTCGCCTGAGGATGGCCAATTGAGTGTCAAGGGTGGTTAGTTGTCTCGCAGGTGGCGAGGGTCTTGAGCTGGATTGTGTTACATTAGTTGGTGTTTTTGCGCTTCTTTGAGCCTTACTCGAGGATCTTGTTGGCGGTGGAGGTGGTTCACCTGTTTCTCCCCTTCCACTATTGAGATTAAATCCACTGAGACTCCGTGGAAGAGGCGGCAATCCTTGCAAGGAAGACATCGCTATCCTCTCGAGTATACTGCAACAGAATTATATATATATATATATATATATCGTGTCTGCATCAGATTTTATACCGTTATAAGACGTTAGTTCATTTTATTCTCGAATTGATTTGCTTCTTATTTTAGAATTTGAAAAAAAACAACCACAACCGAAAACGAGTGACTCATATATACCGGAATTATTTTCCTCTGAAATAATTTTTTTTTCTTTTTTGATACAGTAAAAAATACAAAATCTACTTTTTATTTCTGTAATTTTTTCCTTAGAACAAAATCAATTCAATTGTTACTGGAAAAAAAGGTTAATTTTGACATTAGGTTTAGTCAAAATTAAATTTTTTTTCTAGTAAAAACTCTATTAATTTTGTAAGTATTAAGGTAAAAATTTCCTAAATAAAAAGTAGATTTTATGTATATTTTTTTCAGTGTAGAAAATCAAATTCTAATAATCAAGACACATTTATATATATATGATATTGTATTATAATTAGTGTACTTGTTATGCCGACATTGTCCCACTTTCTAGCTTCTATGAAGTTTGTTAAAAACCCTTTAATTACTACTAGAATATATGTTAATTATTGAATATTTATTAAATATGAATATAATTATCATATACAAAGTTGTGTAAAATATGTCGGAAAATTTTACACATATTTTTTATATTAATCATAATTTCATTTTTTATTAAATTTTCAACAGCGGTTTTTTGTTTTTGTAATTAGTATATATATATATATACGCAGTCCTTGATTGTATACGCACTTTAATGAGAGGAAAATATAGTCATTAGTCATTGAGACAATTCACGATAATAGTTTTTTAAATTATTATCATTGGTTAGATTTTGACGTCATTATTTTTTTTAAATACCATTTTCATTTGAATTAACAATATATGGATATAGAAAGAAAATTTTTGCTTCTTTAAATTTTAAAGTAGCTTCTAAAATCAGATATATATAAGAGAATTGAATATATTGAAAGATAAATAGAAACTGTTGCCTAAATAATTATAAGTTTTGCCTTACTGAGAATTATGTAAGATATAATCAATTATGTGCAAGAAAATACTCACAAAAAAAAATGTATTTATACAGCTCTCTCGTGACTATAGTAAATGAGTTGATTCTTTTTTCAGTAGTTTGGAATATACAAAAGATTTAAAAATTTTATTCAAATATAAAAAGAATCGGTTAAAATTTATTACTTTAGAGATTAAGAAATTATAAATTTTTAGTGTTTTTTTTAAATAAAGGAATAAAAAAATTAATTTACAACAGATAAATATATTTTCAAGTGTAAAAAAGTGATAATTTTTTTTTATTAAACCGATAAAAACAAATACTTACTAATTACATTGAAATAAAAACAGAAAGTATAAAAAATTATACGGAAAAAATTAAAATTTTTAAATGAATAAGTTCATTAATGTTATAATTATTACAAGGCAAGTAGTTTCTATAAATCCTTGAATTAGAATTTAATTTAAAAATTATTTTTAATTCATATTACATTGACCTTAATCTTAATGACCAAAATAATATAAGATATATAGTTAAATAATAATATAAGTTATATAAAAAAAAATTCTAAAAACAAGATAATTATATAACACAATTGCATCGCTTTTCACATAATAAATAATTTAAATTTCTTTTTATGTTTATACAATTTGATTTTTATTGAATAATTGACTAATTGTTGAACAAAAATACCTTCTCATTATGATGAGAATGTAATAACTTTTTTCAATTTAAAAAACTACGTACTCATTTATTTGTTAGTATTTACATACAAGCGCGAAATATGATTACCTAACCTCAAAATTTTCAATCTAGAATGAAAATTTTGTCCACAATTAATTTCTTTATCAATGAGTTTTTTTTTGCAGAGGTTACTAATGGAGAAAAAAATGTGGACCTAACCTCAAAAACACAGTAAAGATGAATTATCCGGATTGATAATTCCAATCTGGGAAATTCTGATTTGCTTAGGGAAAAAAAGGTATTTAGATCAGTAGAAGAAAATTGCAAATAATAATTGACAAATATCCCAAATTAAGAGTGACTTAAAAGCAGATTTTTGAAATAATTTCAAACACCACACGGAGAAAAATAGAAAAACGAATAAAGTAACTTTTTACTATACTTTAAAAGTAAAACCTGAACTGTCCGGAGTTTCTGGTAATTTTTATTCCAAAAATGCGCAGAAACTTTGGACATTTAAGGTTTTACTTTTAAAGTATAGTAAAAATTACTTTATTCATTTTTCCATTTTAATTCCATGACCTAGTGAAATTTAGTTGACATTAAAGCCTAAAAAAATGACAAATTATATCGTATGTTCTCCTTCAATTCGCGAAAGTTTACCACTCGAAATGAAAATTTTTGCGTCGCCCCTTGACCATTAAAAACACACGTCACGTCCCTTCAAATCGCCGCTCTCCTTTGTCGCGTGGCGAAAGTCGTTTACGGTGCAAACACCATTGCGCGCGATATATTCTCATATTTATATACATGTATATACCTGGAAAAATCGAGGTCACCGAACTCCACCTCGTCCTCGAGGTGGGCAAATCCATTGACACGATCTGTGGCTTCGTCGTCTCCTGACAGGGTAATTTGCGTGGAGGAGTAACGGACACCAGCTTCCAACCAATCTTGATGATGAATATTATCTCCATCATCATTAAAAACCACAACTTTACGTTCTGGCTCATCAACAATCACCACTGTCGCTCCATCATTCAAAATAGATTTATTTATCTCGCTACCGTCATTTGTCAATTGTGATGATAACCTCTGTCTTGGCTTTAATGGTAACCTAGGTCGTGTATCTTTTTCTAAATTTGGTTTTTCGCCAATTTGAATATTATTTCTTGCTGGAATTGGTGGTCTTGGCCAATTTGTACGTTCTAGAGGTTTGGGACAACGTACCAATGGCCTTTGACTTTTTCCACTATGATGACCATCGATTTCATCTTTATTTCGACTTCTCACACGATCTCTTGTTAGGAGATTCATTTTTTGTGAACGTAATCGCGGTCTCGATGGATCCAGCTGGATGTCACCTAATCTGATCTCCTTGGGATCTTGACCATCTCGTTTCTCTAAATTCTTTAATCGACATTCCTCCACAAGCTCGTAGATCTCGTTCTCCAACAAACTCTCAACACTTGGGCGTCGACTCTGTGGAATTGGTGATTCGACACTCTCCACATCGGAATAATTTATTTCCTCATCCTCTGATTTTGATTCCTTTTCGAAATTTTGATTTTCTTTTTCTACTTTTGAATTATTTTCTATTACATTTAATTCTTGTTCCTCTGGCTTTGTTTCAATATCTTTATCCAATGATACTTCTGGCTCGATATCAACGTCTAGTGATGTTTCCTGATTGTTGGACTCATAGACAACAGTTCGACCGGGTTTATTGAGGATTTCTTGATTATTGGAACGCCAGGGTTTTGTATTGGGTGGTGGTGGTGCTTGCCTAGTGGGACAAGGAGGCCTGGGTGATCGTTTCAAGGCTTCGGCAACGACCTGTCTACTCGGCCTTGGTGGTACCGGAGGAGGATGAGGTCTCTGGGACGCTGCGAGCTGCATTCCGTGAATGAGACAACAACAACAACAACGAAGACGACCGTTTTATTTTTTATCAACAAATTTCGCCTCCTGAAGAAAACACGTCTCGAGAGAATCACATAAACTAACTGAATGAAACAACACAACACTCATGATTCGTCACTTTAAAATTTTTATCACAATCGTTATCGAACATTATCACAATATTGGAAATCACTTTTCTTTGTTGAAAAAAGTAAAAAAATTCGACGGCAACAAGCTGTTGAGGTTCTAAATTGATAAATTAAATTTTAGGACAAAATTTTCTATAAAAAAAGGAATGGATGATTTTGAATTCTGTTTCAATGTGGTTTTTGTTCTTTTCTTTTTGTTTTTATGTATATATTTGAAAGTGGAACGCAATTATGTCTGTGTTTCTCGTTCTCGTTGGAGAGACCGACTGACTATACAATCCCAGCAAACATCCTTCGACTTGGAGAGACCACGTGACTGTTTTGAGCTCGCGTTCTCGGGCATCAGGTAGTCGCCACGGAGTGTATTTCTCATTCCGGGATAGACGTGTATGTAGGTGTGGGTGTAGGTGTGTACATATCGCAGTCAGCAGTATCGTCGTAGTATCGCGTGAGAGAGTAAAGTCGATGGAGTAGTGGAAGGGTCCCATTAGGTATATCCCCCTGCCTTCACTATATATGTTGGCTTTTACGTTCACCAGGTTCGTGTCGTCCCACCAATGAACCCCGTTTTATATATTATTAAAAATCTCAATAACTTAAAATTCTACTTAGTATTACAAAAATTATTTAAATAATTTATTTATTTAATAATTATTTGGATTCAAATAATTTACTTTTCTATTATCAAGTAAATATATGTATTTGAACCAAATAGTTACTAACTCTATTTTATCGTAACAAATAAATAGTAATTTTTATCAAATAATTTTTATTTATATCAAAAAAATAAAATCAATTTTTTTTATATTGCGCGTATTTGAAACATATTGCAAAAAATTCAAAATCACGAATAAGTAATTTTTAAAACAAATATTAATCATATATTGTAAAATGAATGATTCACAAAATTTAAAGCATTTTATCGTGTACATCGCTCGAATGCTTCACTGACAAATAGAAATTAAAATTCGAAAAAAGTTGAATTAAATTAAAATTTCAAAAACTGTTTTTTTTACTATTTTCAAAATTTTTTTAAATATCCGAAGAATTTTTTTAATCTTTTAAAGAAATTCCGTAATTTGAAAATTGTCCTTGGAAATTTGCTTCACTTATCTCTGTTTGCATAACTGACTCACTGGTTATATATGCTCATGATATTTTATTGCAATAAAAGATTTTTCAATTATGAACTTTAATAACTGAAATTTTTATCAAAAAATTGAATATCATTTGCGAGTCAATTTTTATAATTGTAAAAATAATTAAAATTTTTTTCAAAGTAAGAAAATTCAAAAATATATTTAAAAAAAAAAACATTCAAAATATTACACTGAAAAAATGATAGAAGCAAAGTAAAAGGCATGAATCTTGCGGTAAATTGATGGTTTTTGCAAGTAATGTAAATTTTTTTTTTTTTTTACTATTAAACAATGTCATTACAAGCGAGCATGACGATGCTATATGTAATATATCATAACGAATGTATCATTCTTAAGTATAAAAGATCAAGTATATACATTAATTTCTCTAAACATTGCATAATATTTTGAATAATTACAATATCAATTATATTCTTAAATATATATTTATATTTTAAATAATAAATTAAATTCTTTTAGTAAATAAAAGAAACTAATTTTTTTTTAAGAGTTTCAAAAAAATAATTGAAAGAGAATAAAAATTAATGGAAAAAAAATATATAAATAAATAAATGATAAAATTGATCACTTGGAGAAAATATAAATTTCTCTTTTGGCTTAAATAGAAAACTCGTTTTTACTATCATAATATCGAGCAAAATGATTAAACAGTAGTTATGACTAATTGACAATTTCGAGAAATGTTTTGACTAAATGACAAAGACGGATATGTTGACGTAATGGAAAAAGAAAATGAATTCAATAACCGTGTCGCTATTAACATATTAACTTGTATTGAATTCTAATTTTTGATCAATTATTTTTTTTTTATAAATTTAAACCGCGATTCTTTTATATTTCGAATGTTGAGGGTTTGATTTGCAATTATTAATTAATAATTTCTTTAATTTAGTAAATTTGTCATTTTTATTTTTTTTATTGAAGAAAATAACCATACACTGCAAAAAAAAAAGTATATTAATATAAGATGTTTTGGTAGTAACTTTTTAGTTATTTGAAATATCTTATGTTTAAGATGTTAATAGTATATCTTTGCCAAAGTGCTTCACATATTTTTGATGAAAAAAATTTTGAGGTTAACTATGGCCTCTTATGTAAGATTGCTTAATGTATTTTATATTTTAGTAACTTCAAATTTTGACGTATCTTAGAATTTACAAGCATCTTTTTTCTAAACATCTTATGACTCCACAAATATTTTAATTCAAGTTACTTATAGAAATTTACAGAAAGTAATTTACATTTTAAGATAAAAGAAATATTTTAATTCTTGTTAAAACGCAAAAAGCATCTTAAATATTAATAAGATACTTTACAAAATATCTTTTTTTAAGATGAAAGACACCATTTTTTCCATATTACATCTTATTGTAAGATACCAAGTTACTTATTTTTGCAGTGTACCCCCATAGCACCGAAACTTTCCTAAAGATTTCCTAAAGATTTATTTGAAATGTTGGGAATATTTAATTGCAATATTTAGTGAAAATTGTGTGTATGGGACATTTAAATCTTTACACAATTTTCACTAAACATTGCAATTAAATATTCCTAACATTTCAAAATAAATCTTTGGGAAAGTTCCGGTGCTGTGGTGGTAAGCTTTAAATTCCTTAATTATAATGGACTTTAAACACAAACAAAACGTCTTAAATCCAAAAAAAAAAAACAAATATAAATACTTTATTAAAATTTTTTTACTTTGAAATTAACATTAGTGGTTATGTGAGAAATGTCATTTGTTTAAATTTCTCGAAATATTGATTTATCATGATGCTGAAGTCCGCAACGTTTTTGTAAACGAAAAAATAATTAGACAATATCCATTAATTTTGGTTAAAATTAAAGTTATTCGGGGGTAACTGGTTTTTATAAAAGTATTAATTTCTTGAAAGTTTGTGCAAATCAAAATTAGAGATAAACTAGCAAAATTAAACGCGCGTCCAACTTTGACTGCAATGGTTGTTTTAAAATAATAATAATATTAATAATAATAATAATAATAATTCTGCATCAGTGGAGTAATAAATTAATAATAGATATATTTCTAATTTTCACGTTATCATTTATTTATACACATAAAAAAATGAGTTTGATATTATATAAATAGTGATTTTTTAGTTAAGGATGATTTTTTATAATCTTTGAAATTACAAAAAATTAGTTTTGCTAAATATTTTACTGTATTTTCTATAAATATTTCGTTGCAAATGAAAATTTTAAATTTATGTTTTTTTTCAAAAAATTTAATTAATTGATAATTAATAAATATTAAAAAATTATGTAATCAAAAAGAAAATTAAATTAACTCAATATTATTAATTATATTTTAAAAAGTATTAAGCAATTAATATTTAAAAATGTTGAAAAAATAAAACCTAGAAAAAACTTTGTAATGTTTTAAACTTTAAACTTAAATTAAAAATTAAAATCAAATTGAAAATTTTTTAAAAAAGCAAACTATTTTTATATTGTTTACAGATAAAAAAAATATAACAATTTAATAATTAATAATAAAAACAAAATAATAATAATCAATTTATGAATAATAATATATAATAAATAATAATGAATAATGAAAAAATAATGAAAGAAATAATAATTATAAGTTAAAATGTTCTAATTATCTGTAATAATCATTATATTTAAAATATATATATATATATATATATATGATATAATAAATTTATAAATAATAATAAAAATTATATCATAATTGAAACTTTTTTTTCTATAAATACCAAGTAGGAAATATACTGGTGCTGCACACAATAACAATATTTTTTTTTTTACTTTAAACTGTCACTTAGTATATGACTTAATTAATGACGATGAATAAAAATATCCGTCGCGTTAACCATAAAATATTACGAAATCAAGAATTGTCAAAATTTTAGAAAAACAAAAGGAACAAAATACGACTAACTTCAAGTGTGGACAGACGGAATGAATGAATGAATACGGAAATTATTATAGTTAATTAATAATTGACATGAAAAAATAATTCTATTTTAATTTTTCGTTTTTAAAAACGTTGCGGACTTCAGCCTTATGATTTATCAGCTTTTGAAAAATTGATCCTCAAATTTGATATTGAGCTAAAATTTTGTAAAGAACTCAAAAATAGTATAAGGATTCGTTGTGTCATGTATCAAAATTCAATCACATTTTTCTAAGATCTAATTTGGTTTGGTTTACGATTTGGTCTTCATAAAATAACGTATAGTAAATTCTTTTAATGATGGAAATAATTCTTCATGGTAAGAGATTCAATATCATTGCCAATGTATATAGTTAACTTTCTTAAATTAGATTCTTCTTGTCATTTGTTGTTTTTAGATTCTAAACTTTTGTATTAATTTTTAGAAATTAATATGAAAAAAAAACAACAAACAATTGTACCTCTTTGGTTGCGTGGTGACACCTGGAGGATGTTATTACACTCAACTACTCCTTGAATTTCCACTCTTGACGGCACATTGGACAAAGATGACTCGCTTGTTGAGAATGTAACCACTTCATAATGCAATGAATATGAAAACAATGTGAACACTGACCCCAAACTGAAACATTTTTTTTTATAAAATTATCGAAAAATAGTGACTATTTGGAAGACAATTGAAATTTAGTTGACTAGAGATTTTAGCGTTTTAAAAAGGAACCCGGCACCCGGTAGACGCGATGGAACTTTCCTCTCTCACCCCAAATACACACACACACACACGGATACATGTTGACATTTGTATTTGCCTGTCTGTGTATAGGTGAGGGGAGGTTAAAAACAATCCACACACTATCGAGTACAAGGGGTTGAATCGATATAAATACTTCCATTTGCGCAGATGCAACTTTCATTCAGGCTATTGTGCCATACGAGGGGTTTTTAATTTCACTCTAAAAGGAAAATAATTTTTCACATTCACAAATTATTTCTACCACCTATATATGATATATAAAAGAAAAATTTATCTAAAAAGAAATAGTTCTAAAAAAAAATCGGAATATTTCACAGAAAATTAAAAGGCATTAAAATCAGCTGCAACGTTTCTTAATTAAATCCAATTTTGTTTATTTTAATTCATTTTGGTATTAAAATAAGCAAAATTGGATTAAAATAAGAAGCGTTGCAGCTTATTTTAATGCCTTTTAATTTTCTGTGTTAGAGAATAGTTAAATTTTTATAAAAAAAAAAATTACCTAAAGGACAATCGTCCCCGGGAACTTTACAATCGGGACAACTTGCATCAAATGGCATTCGACAAATACCACAATTATCATCGTTTGCAATCCATCGCCAAGTTGCTATTCCAGTCCAACCTGAAATAAAAAAATTGTTTTTAAAATTTCCCTTCCCCTTTTTGTTAAAAAAAAATAATTCCATATTTTGTAATTGCAAATTTGTTTTTGATTTTTATAGGTTAGGTTACAAATAACTTACAAATAAGCAATATAAGCAAAATAAAATGGATATTTCCCCCAAAAATATCGGATTTTCAATCAAAACATAACAAAGTATCGATACAAAATGTAAACAATTTTTTTTCTACTTACTTTTTATTGTAACTTTCATTCTGTGTTTTGTCTTATATAGAATTTTAATTACATGAAGCACTAAATTCACATTTAATTCGAAACTAAATTTTTTTATAAAGTCTATATAGTCTATAAAATCTATAAAATCTATAAAATCTATAAAATATTATAAAAAGTAAACAAAGAAACACAAATTCACCGAAAGAATAGCAACAGATGTTTGACGCAAGCGCCACGTAGTGGCAGAAATTGTTTCTTTCTTTTATTTTTAAATTTTTAAGAGAAATATAACGTTTTTTTTTTAAGATTTAACAGCAAAATAAAGTAATTTTTATTACTATATAAATAATAATTGTAAATTATTATAAATAGTAATTATTTTTATTATTTAGCAAAAAAAAAATAACAATGAGATATCATATCCTAACCTCAAATAAAACAATATTTTTATTTTTTAATTAAATTTGAATTTAATAAATTTTATTAATTACTTTTTTTAAAATTATTGAATTGCAATTGTCTGGGAATTTCCCCCTTTTGTCAATCTCTCTCTCTCTCGAAATTTTCCCTGTTATGACGAATCCTCACCCCATCAGAAAAAAGAGAAATGTATACTGCGCAGAAAAAAAAGCAAACGACGTTTAGTCAGTGTGACCAGGCCGCAGATAGACTTGACCCCCACCATGTTTCCATCCGCACACTAACACATGCATATACATTCCCTGTATATGAGCCTCTTTTTCGTTTTCCTCTATTCGCTAGATACTATACATGCATTTACCGGCGGTCGATTGCTTTTTGGCGCGGGAAATTTAAAATGTAGAAATATTCTTTAGTAATTCACAATAAATATATTAAGTAAAAAATTAATTATTTATTCAAAAATGTTTTTATTATTAATTTTCAAATGTAATAAACAATAATTCCTGTATGATTATAATAATTTATTGAAATTAATTTTCAGGTTAAATAATAAATTAGATTTTAATAAAACTTTTAAATAAAATTCAAATTATTCTTTACTTTATTTTGTAAAATATACTTAAAGGGATGAAATAAAATTTAATATTAATGCTTTCAATTAATGAGATATATGTATAATAACTATTAAATTTTATTTTATCTCTTTAATTATAATAAAAAAAATTTAATTTTGATATTTAATGATGTTTTTTTTATTAAATTCTAATTTACTATTTAACTTGAAAATTATCTTTTACAAATTATTATAATCATACATTGAATTATTGTTTATCATTATTTATTTTTAAAAAAGAGATAAAATAATTTGTATAGGTAATAATTAATAATAAATCAATTAATTAATCAATTATTAAATTAATAATAATTAATTATTAATTTCTTTTTTATGATAATTTTTAATTAACACAATTATTAATTAAATAATTATATATTGTTAATTATATTTCAGACTATACTTACTTCTTTTATAATTTAATCTACACAAATTTAAAAAAATTACATTTTACATAAATAAATTATAGGGTCAGTCGGGGTAAATCCGAACGGGGGGTAAATCCGAACGCTAATTATTTCAGCTTAATTAAAATTTTTAAAAATAAGTTCGATATGAGAATTTTTACCTCAGATCCTCTTGAAGAGATTCTAAGTATTATCCCATTTTTTGTTTGTTAATTAGCAACAGCATAAACAAAGATAACAAGTATTGCAAAAAAGATTGAAAATCAAAGATGACACTCTTTCAGTATTTTGTCTCGTATTTCAAGAAAAAGAAGCTAAAAATTCATTTTATTATTTATAATTGTTTGTTATGAATACTAGAACAGAAACTATATTTGATTTTTGCCTTCTGTAAAATTTTATTAATAATATCAGACCGTTCGTATTTACCCAAGAAAATTGGAAAACTGGGGTAAATCCGAACGGTATTTTTAATAATTTTTTTTTACATCAAAGCCACACAAAATTGTTTTTATTTGATTACACTATTATTTTAACATTATAAAAGTACATAGAAAAAAGTTTTTCTTTCTATACGTATCCTCGTTAGTAATTAATAAGCAGAAACTTAATCTCTGTTCTCTCGAAGGAGTGTTTCAATTTTTTTGCCAAATGGTTTGTTGAAAAAAGTTTTTCAGGATCTTAATAAAATTTGGTATTCTACGGTTTTTGGGGTCGCTAATTACCAATTTGAAGTCAGTTTTTCAAAATTCAAAATGGCGGACGAGAATTAAAAAATTCATTGGATTCCCTCGAAAATTGTTACTCGGGGGGTTTCAGGGTTAGCAAATTTGATCATTTTTAAAAATAAGTTTTAGGAAAGTACGCCATTTTGAATTTAAAAAATTTGACTTTTATTTTTTTGTATTTACATTCAATCACTCCAAAATACTTTGTGTAGCAAGTTTTGCAAAAATCCGTTATGATTTGATAAAGTTATTGAAGGTTTTAATTGTGTAATGCATTTTAATTTTTAACCTGTTTGATTTTTGTATTTATATATGATGCATTATTACATAATAGGTTTATTATCGTATTTTTTTTGAGTTTTTATATAAGTTTAACAATTGCAATACTTTAAATTTATTTTCCCTAAGATTTTTCTGAAATACAGTGGCGTTCGTATTTACCCCCATATTTTAGGAAAGTTGCAAAGTATCGAGGTAAATACGAACGCTAAGTTTCCTGCGATTGTAATTTATCAAAAAATTTTTCTACCCCATAAAATTGTTCTATGGAAGTAAAGTAACAACTTCATGCACCAGAATACCGGAAGTATTTTTTTTTTAAAGAAAAAACTTATGTTATTGTTGAAACTTACTAAAAGCGTTCGGATTTACCCCAGTTTACCCTATTATAAATTAAATTATTATATTTATAAATTATATTATTACCTTTTACACCCTATTTATAAATAAGGTATAAAAGATAATTTTTTTAAATTTGTGTAGATTAAATTATAAAAGAAGTAAGTAGTCTGAAATATAATTAACAATATATAATTATTAAATTAATAATTGTGTTAATTAAAAATTATCATAAAAAAGAAATTATTAATTAAATAATAATTATTATTAATTTAATAATTGATTAATTAATTGATTTATTATTAATTATTATACAAATTATTTCATCCCTGTTTTAAAAATAAATAATGATAAACAATAATTCAATGTATGATTATAATAATTTGTAAAAGATAATTTTCAAGTTAAATAATAAATTAGAATTTAATAAAAAAAACATCATTAAATATCAAAATTAAATTTTTTTTATTATAATTAAAGAGATAAAATAAAATTTAATAGTTATTATACATATATCTCATTAATTGAAAGCATTAATATTAAATTTTATTTCATCCCTTTAAGTATATTTTACAAAATAAAGTAAAGAATAATTTGAATTTTATTTAAAAGTTTTATTAAAATCTAATTTATTATTTAACCTGAAAATTAATTTCAATAAATTATTATAATCATACAGGAATTATTGTTTATTACATTTGAAAATTAATAATAAAAACATTTTTGAATAAATAATTAATTTTTTACTTAATATATTTATTGTGAATTACTAAAGAATATTTCTACATTTTAAATTTCCCGCGCCAAAAAGCAATCGACCGCCGGTAAATGCATGTATAGTATCTAGCGAATAGAGGAAAACGAAAAAGAGGCTCATATACAGGGAATGTATATGCATGTGTTAGTGTGCGGATGGAAACATGGTGGGGGTCAAGTCTATCTGCGGCCTGGTCACACTGCGTTTAGTTGTATACGTGACTTCGGAACGTAACGTATTGGCACAGTGTTTTAATAAGTGTGAAAATAAAATTCAGCTATAATTCTTTTTTTCCTTTTTTTTTTTGTTTTCCCAACGGGTTTTGTGAATTTTATTTAAATTCAATATAACTAAGTGTTTTTAAAAGTGAAATTATCATTTCAAGAGGTTAGAAAATGCTCCTAAATAGCGGCGCGCCGCACAATTGTTTCGTCGTCTACTTGAACGATGTGGATATTTCATTTGAAAAAAGCAACGTGGTGTCAATGAAGTAGAAAATATTAAGTAAACGTTGATGTTTACATTTTCTGTTAAAAGTCTAACAAAAATGACACTTTAGAGAAAAGGGGAACATTTCTCTTTTTTTGGTACCGAACACCTGCCAAAAAAAAAAAACAAAACAGAAAAGACATGGCGGGTTTCCGAGATGAGGACAAGGCTCTTTTTCCATTACAGAGTATTTCCTCGATTGTACAAATTTTTCAAAATCAATTGGAAAATAGCACGGAGCCTGATCTTGCATTGCTTTCTATTCTTGTTGGCGCTGTTGAAAATTCATTAACCTGCAATCGTACATTTACATCGCAAGATTCAATTGTTTATGATGAGCCAAAATTACCAACAGTTGAATATCATATTGCCGAAGCATTATATAGAAAATTTCAAACGGTAATAAAAGGTGCTGTTGATTTAACGGTTTATGATACAAAATATGCAACAAGAGAATTAGTTAAAAAAGTATCGGATGTCATATGGAATTCATTGACAAGAAGCTATTATAAAGATAGAGCACATTTACAAAGTCTTTATAGTTATTTAACGGCAAATAAACTCGATTGTTTTGGTGTTGCATTTGCTGTTGTTGCTGGATGTCAAGTATTGGGATTTAAGGATGTTCATTTGGCAATGTCAGAGGATCATGCATGGGTTGTTTATGGAGAAGATGGTTCTGAAACAGCTGAAGTTACATGGCACGGTAAGGTTTTTGTTTGGAATATAATTTTCCATATTTTTTAATTCAATTCGTTTGTAATTTAGGAAAGGGAAACGAGGACAAACGTGGACAGCCAGTTGAAGCAGGTGTGGCGTCACGATCATGGTTATATGTTAATGGACAAGCTGTAATATGTAATCGAGCAATGGAAGTTGCTACAATTGTTTCGGCTATTAATCCAAGTCTCAGTGCAACAGCAGACGCTGCGGAAGTTGCATTATTACAACAGGAATTATTGTGGTTACTTTATGATTTGGGTCATTTGGCAAAATATCCAATGGCTCTTGGAAATTTAGGTGATCTTGAAGAAGCTGCACCAACACCCGGAAGACCACCTGCAATTAATCTCTTTCAGGTCTGTTTTTAATTTTTCCCATTCTGTATATATTAAAATTTTCCTATTTTTTGACAAATTATTTTTTTTTTTAGGAAGCCATTCGTTCGTCAAGAAAATATTATGGTAACGCACATGTTTATCCCTATACTTATCAAGGTGGTTATCTTTATCGTCATGGATTACATTCCGAAGCACTTTCTTCATGGGCTGATGCTGCTGATGTTTTAAGAAAGTTAGTATTACAAAGAATTTTTGTAATATATTTTTTTGACAAAAATTTTCTATTTTAGATACGATTATTCAAGAGACGATGGTGAAATTTACAAGGAACTTCTTGAAATTGCAAATGAATTGATACCACATGCAGTTAGGGCTGATGAACGTTTACTTCGACAACCGCGTTGTTTTGCACATCTTTTACGTTTTTACGATGGTATTTGCCAATGGGAGGAAGGAGCAAATACACCAGTATTACATATTGGTTGGGCACGTCCATTAGTTAATACAATATCAAAATTTGATGCGAATATACGCGCTCAAGTTGTTATTGAATGCTATGAAACAGAAACAATAAAACTCAATGACGATGAGAATTTACAAAAAAAAGAAACAAATCCCGATGAAATGCTTAATAATAATAATAATAATTATTATAAAACAAAAGAAAAGGGAAATAATACAGCAAGGGATTTAATTAAAAGTTTAGAATCTAAAGTACCAGTAACGACGGCATCAACACATCCAAGTATTCAAGCATTAACGGCAGCGTGCAGTGAGAAAATTCTCAATAGAGATTATCTTCTTCAAGGCGATGGTGAACCATTTGTGGCACCACCTGAATTAACAATTAATTCAACGCCTTCAACATCTCAGGAACCAGTTGTTGCTGTTGCTACTGCTACTGTTACTGCTACTGCTGTTACTGCTGCTGCTACTACCGTTGTTGTCAACGAAGAGATTGTCGATGATTCTGAGAATGAGAAGCCAAAGATAACTCTCTACAGTCAAAAAATGAAGGGATTGAAAGATTTACTACTTGCCGAGAAGCTTAATACACATGCAATTTCACTTCAATTAACGGCACAGAGCCAAGTGCAAATAGGTAAAAAAACAAGAAGCGGCGATGAAATTGGTATTAATCAACGACCGAAGAGAACACGTCGCGATTAATATAATATCGCTTAAATCGTGTTTAGAAAAAAAGAAAAATTCAATTGATTTTCTCGATTTTAATTTTTCCGATTTAATGAAAAGCGATGAGAGTATACGATTCCCACTTTTTTTTTTTTTTTTTTTTTTTCTTGAAAAAAAAGACTTATTCCTCTAAAAGAGTCAAATATTTTTTCTACCTGCGAGAGAAATCACGTCTTATTTTTTTTTAAATATTTTTTCGGATTTTTAAAAAAAAAAAAATTTCCCCGATATTTTTAATTAATTCTTTTTCGTTATTTCAGAAAAATTTTGTCTATTTTTGCAACGCATGAATTTCTCAAAAAAATTAATTAGAAATTATTTTTTTGACGAATTTTCAATTTTTTTTTTATATACGAACAAAATTTGTAGCTACTGAATTTTTTTATTTTTTTTAAATTTTTTAAAAATTTTTTTACGTGGGTTTTCTAAAAGAATTTTAATTTTAACAGAATACTATGTGTGATTTGAATTTTTAACTAAGAAAAATATCAATTTCACTGAAATTTAATTTGTACGAATTTTTAAGACGCCGAATTTTCATTTGTTCGAAATTTAAAAAAATATCCGAACAAATAAACGAGAGAAAGATTTCGGTGCAATTTTTTTTTTGAAAAATTTGTTCGGCCATTTGTAATTTTAGATAAATGAAAATTCGGCGTTTTAAAAATTCGTATAAAATTCAGTCAAATTAAAATTCGGTGAATTGAAATTTCTGACATTTAAAAATTCAAATCACATAAAGTATTTTGTTAAATTAAAATTCTTTTAAATAAAAAATCACTTAAAGAATAGTGACTGTAAAATAAAATTGCAAAAAAAAAAATTCGCTAGCTATAAATTTTTTTGTAAAAAAAAAATCTGAAAGTTTAATCGAAAAATGAAAAATCGTTTTAAAAATAATTATTTCTAATAAAAATTCTTTAAAATGAAAAATTCTAATTAATGATTTTTGTGAGATAATCAAAGCACGTTGATTAGATAAAAATTCGAAATAAGGAATTTTAATGCATCTCCTTTTTTTTGGGCGTTCGATTTCCGTATTCGTAAGGTTTAAAATTTTTTTGAGCCAGTAACAGAAGCGATATATATATATATATATTTAAAAAAAAAATGATATTTATCGTTAGCTCTAAGTTACATAGAGTAGTTTGAAAAGAAAAAAAGAAAAAAAAAAGAAAATTTTTAGAAAAGTACAAAAATTATGAAGCTGATGTTTGCGAATTTTTTTTTCTTTTTAGAAACGAGAGAAAATTAATATAAATTTATATTGTTCATAAATCTTTTTTATCACAGAAAATTATATTTTTACAAAATGTCTTCAATTTTATTGAATTAACAATTTTTTTTATTTTCTTTTTATGCAAAAAGAAGGGTATATCTTCTTTTTTCTTTCTTTTACGCAAAAAAAAATGTTTTTGTTTGCAAAATCATTTTTTTAAAGATATTTAAAATTTTAAATAAATGTGAATTAAACAAAAAATTTTCTCGTTTCTAAAAGGAGAAGATTTAACAAATTTCAGCGGCATAAAAAAAAATTTATGTAAGTTTAAATGTCCCAAAACAACTGCGAATCTGATTTCTTTCAAATTATTGCTTTTTTTTCTCTATTTATAATAATGAAAGCAAATTAGATTCGTGGATGGTTATTTATTTCGCAGAATAGTTTATTTTATCGACATAGTCGATTTTTTTTTCTTTCTTAAATGTACTTTACATTTACTATCTTGTTGCACTTTTGCTTATTTATTGAAAAAAAAAAAAAATTATTTTTATCTCCAGTGATTTTTATAATTGCATTATATTATATTTTGCAATTGACAAAGTTGTCGTTAATGTTTTTTTTTTAAATTACATTTTAAAAAATAATATGTAGTTGAATCTATATTAGAATGACGCTTTTACAATCTAGTTAGACAAACAACATTCCACTCCTTAAGTGGTGTAAATTTTTAAGTTTTTTTTACCTTAAAGTATCTTAAGCATTAAATGCTTGCTTATTTTTATAAATATTTATTTACAGAGATAATTAATATAAGTAATTTAAGTCGCTATTCGAGAGTGTCGAGAGAAAAAAAACGTCTTTTGTTTATTTGTTCAAAAAAAATTTTTTTTAAATGTGTTTTTTTTAAATATTTGTTTAAATGTATTTTTATTTTTCAAATTTTTAATATGTAGAAAATAATTTTAAAATTTTTATCTCTCCTAATTTGTACAGTTTTCGTGAATTTTAATTTTTAATAACAATATTTCTCTTTACCTCTGTTTTTTGCAATTTAACATTTTTTTTCTTTTTTTTTCATTGAGTAAAAATTACTCAAGTGTATCAATAAATATATTTGAATTTTGTTCAAATTTTTCACATAAAAAAAAAACGGAAAAATAAATTTAAAAAAAAATCATTGTACATAAATATTAATTTTTGAAAATGAGTTTTAAAATTTTAAATATTAATGTTAGTGAATTATTTATTATATTTTATTTAATATATGTACCTAGATATTAATATAAAAAAAAAATTGTAAATATATACATATTATTTATAATGAAAAAAAAATTTTAATTACTCTTACGAAAACACGAAATTTTGAATAAAATTGTATTATTATTATTATTATTATTATTATTGTTAATTAAAAAATATTTCATGTAATTAAAAAAATTGATACACATGAGTTTTTACTCTAAATGCTTTTGATGGAAACTTACAGAAATGGAATAGAAAAAAAAACAAAAAAAAAAACAACAAAAAAACAAAAAAAAAAAAAAAAAACAGTGGAATATTGTAATGTTAAAATGGATCAGGGTAAAAATATATAATTTTAATTGCCACGATTGCAATCGGGCTTGCCATTGAAAAGTAGTCGACGATTTAATAATTAAGAATGTTGTTTATCGTTACAAAAAGGCCCGTTAAAAAAATAAATATATATATATATACATATATTGTCATCACAAATTTATTTCATGAAGGGATAATAATTAACTGATAATACTCGTATATACTAGAAAAAAAAACAGTGCTTTCCAAAACAGTGTTTCTTAATCTTAGCAACAATTTAACATTTGTCTTGAATCGTTAGAAAAAAAAAATACGTAAAAAAAAGAAAAATAACATTTTACGAAATTTCATGAATGTAATATATATTATATATACATATAAATAATTAAATATATATATATATATATATTTAATTATTTATTTATTTATTTATATGAATGGTTTGTTGTAGGATAGGTTTGTTAAAAGGGTTGAAGATAATATTTGCGAATGAAAATATAAATTGGTCCGACGATCATGTATAAAAAAAAAAAAAAAAAAAAAAAAGAAGGGCGCTATCTTACTGTGATGCTGAATATAACTATTATTATGTATTAATATTCTAGTAATAACGAATTTTTGTAAAAAAGAAAAAAGGTGACGAGACATGAAAAATACTTTCAATATCAGAAGAAGAATTTTTCTTGCCTCATCCCTCTTCCTCAGCCATAAAATACGATAAAATTGCCAAGAGATGTTTTTTGATGTGAAATTAAAATAATTCGTGGTTTCTTTTTTTTTGACAGTAAAAAAAAATTTCCTACTTTAATTTTTAAAATGTCTTATTTTTTTTAAAAAAAAAGAAATTAACATTTTAAAAAACCACGATTAATATGAAATTTATTTTAAAATCGAATCCTTTTCCAAAGTGATAAGTGCAATTTTTATCTTCTTTTAAAGAAATGCGATTTTAAATGAAATTTCATTGAAAAATTCACAACATCTCCTTGTTTATCGAAAACGCATGGAAAAAAAAACAGAATACAGGAAATTGTCATTCGTCGGCGCAAAAATATACGAATGTAGTGATTGTAAAAAAAAAAAAAAAATAGAAATAGAAAAGGAATTTCTATTGAGCAAATTTTCAAAAAAAAAAATTTCATGCAACTTGAAATGAAAAAAAAATGTAACATTATCGATACAGAAAACATGGAAATGTTTTTAAAGTTTGTAATAAAAAAAAAATTGAAGAGATCGAATATTGTATGGAGAACAGTATTTTTGTATTAGTGACTGATAATTCGAATCTATTATTATTGTAGTGTAATTTTTTTTCGCTAATTATCTGAAAACATTGGCAAAAAAAAAAAAAATTTTTGTCTTATTTTCTAATGTTTTCCGATAAATAGAGATCTCGTGAAATTTTAATATATATATATATAAATATATTTACGCGTGAACAGTGATTTTCGATTCTCTTGAAGAGAGAAAAAAAAAGAAAGAAAGAAAGAAAAGAAAGAGAAAGAAAAATAACAATTTTGAAATTTATGAAATAGTTAAACGTTAAATAACAAATAATAATAATAATCTTTCTCAGTATTAGGCTCCCTTTAATCGCCTATGAATTTTCTCTAACCAATAAATATAGGATCTTTACAATACGAAAAGGAGTGATTAAAAAATTAAAAAAAGTTCTTTCGATTTTTTTTTTTTTGTAATTGAGTCACTTCTCATGAAAATATTTCTCTTGATGAAAACTGAATACTTTTATTTTTTTTTTAATTATTTTGCTTGAATTTTTTTTTATGCTTCACTTAAGACTAAGCAATTTTCCTCAATATTATAATTTCCTTAATAATTGCAATTTTCTTATAATTTAATATTATTGCTTCCATTGCACTTTCTATGGCTTGTTTTCTGCTTTTTTTTTGAAGGCTTCAGTTGCGTGTTTGCTATTTTCATAGTATTCGATAGAAATTGTTATTAACTGAAAAATAAAGACAGAGAAACAAAAATGAAAATGTTTTCATAATTTTTCATTTTATCTGACAATATTTTATCGTTCCTTGGTCGTTTGCCAAAATAAAAATAAATTAATAACTTTAAAATTTATATCTGGAAAATTTATCCTCATTGTTAAATGTTGTGTATATGTTTTTAAATTTTAATGAAAAAAAAAAAATGTTTGTGAAAAACAATATTTAAAGCAAACACGTATCTGATAAATTTTTTTTTATTATAGAATTTAGTTTCTCTTATATAAATATTAGTTTGAAAATCAATCAATTTTCAATTAGAATTTCCATGATGTCACATTAATAATTATGAAAAATTTTTGTTTTAGTAAATATTGATACAAATTTAGATGAATTTTTACTAAATAACAAAAAATTTTATGATTAATTGTAAATGGATTTTTGGAAATTTTTAACTTTGAGACTTTTTCATCTAATTATAATAAATAACAATGTATAAGATTTTCATGAAAATGAATCTACTTCCACGGGGCATATTAAACTAGAATTATAAGAAGCTATTAGAATAAGTTTAATTTTTTTTTTTTCATTGTACTTAAGTGAAGACGAAACTTGATTACGAGCTGCACCAGTGATACGTTAATTATATCATTGTCATTTATAAAAAAAAAAAACCCCTTTATCGATTACATTCTATTCACAATTTTTTTTTTTAAATGTAATTTTCATTTTTTTTTTTTTTAGAAGAATAATATAGATCATTGTAAATAGAAGGCACTAATATTTTTTTTTCTAATTTTTCAATTTTTTTTTTTTTGTTTGGTGTGCTATGAATAATATAATGAATAGAGTGTAATTGCAATTATTATCATTGTTAACTTGACAGAACAGTGAGTTGTAAAATCATCACAATGTCCTGTTTTTTCAGTGGATTTACAATAAACTATTTTATTCTATCTCTGTTGTTGTTAATAAAATTTTAATTAAATCCTTAAAACATTTTTTTTTTATGGTAAAATATGGAAAAGAAATAATAAAAGCTGTTTGTTATAAAATATTCTGATGATTTTTTTTTATTAATGATTATAAAGGACGAATAAATAGTCTATTTTATACAAACGTCGTAAATTAGATTTTTTATTATATAAATCTAACATATTTTTTTTTTTGTGACAAGGCTTTAATATAGAAGAAAATTTCTTTTTTCATATTGTTATTTCGAAATTCTTATATTTCAAAGTTTCTATTAATAATAATAATAATAATAATAATAATAATAATAATATAAAATGTAATAAATTACAGAACGGTTAAAAAAAATGATATATATGATAACAATAATATTTGGTCATTTGTCTCTCTTTATGTTTTAAAGTTTAAAAAATTGAAATTATTTTTCGTTAAGAAAAATATTCATTCGTGTCAATAATTTTTTACAGTAATTAAAACACGAATTATACGATATGGGTAACTTATTTTATACGATTATTATACGTGTCTAAGAAACAATATGTTTCTTTTTGTAAAAAAAAAATTTCAGTTTTTAAGTTATTTTTTTTTTATTCTATTTTGGAAAATAAAACTAATACTGTATCGAAATACTTTTTTTTTTTTTGAAAATATGAATTTTTACCTATTTTTTTGGTACCTCTTTTATTTTTAATATTCTCGAGGACAATTCGGTAATTAAATTTTATTTTTTGGTAATTTAAGAATTACCATTTTTATAATGGGGAATTTATTCTAATTTATATTTTCTGAAATAATAAACTCAGAAATGAGATAAAGAGAGTTTAAAAAAAAAATTTGTAAGCCTATTACTAATTTGATAAATTCTACGAGAGTATTGTTTTTTTATTGATGATCTATATTTTGAAAGAACCATTCAGTGAAAAGTCGTAATTGTTGAGCAGCCGCGTGACTTTCGTCTTGGAGTCTGCGATTTTCGTCGCGTAATCGTCGTACCTCGTCTTCTAAAGAGAGACGTCGACGAGTTTCCCTTGCCATTCGCAATTCCAAAGTTGACAAATGACTATGTAAATCGGAAACTGCATTTCTGAGGATAAATAAAATTAATTTAAAAAATAGAAAATATTTTAAATAATTTTTTTTTTTGTTTTTTTTTTACTAACGTGGAAGTGTTGCCATCAACAATTCTCTCCTCGGGCCAATCCTGACAATGTTTTGTTACTTTGGATTCCAAATTATTGGGCCAACCGTTTGCTTCATTTTCCAATTGTATTTTTGCATCTCTTATAGCAGCTAAAGTGCTCGGTGGTTTTGTTATCGTGTGTGGAGTTTTTGTCACTCTTGGCGATAGTCTAAAAAAGAGAATTTTTTTTTTAAATTTATTAAAAAAATATTTGAAAAAAATAATAATTACCTTTCTTCTTTTGTCATTTTATTTTCACTTGGCGCGGGACTTGACGCTGTGCTTGCATTTGAAATAACAGTCGCTGGTCTTGCCATTGTGAGAATAACTTCTGATTGATTATTTCCATTTTCCTGTCCATTTCTTTCTAAAACGCTCAATGTTGATGTACTATTACCACATAAATTCTCCCTTGATCTACATCTATTTTGTATTTCAAGAATATTATTATTCACTTTATTTGTATTTTGATTATTAATTGGAAAATTATTATTTATCATTTGACTATCGTCTGAAATAAAATCGGGATTTATTAATTTCATAAGATCCTCTTGAAGTGTACTTGATGTTAAATTTGCTGAATTTCTATATGAATTTCTTGCACCGGGTTTTGGTCGTGGACTTTGATTTCTTGAATCACAGCTCGATGGTGTTAAATTTCCCGTTCTATGTTTATTATTAGCACGTCGCATTCTTGGCGAAACATTTCCCGAGCCATTTGATAATTCATCTTCACTTGGAAGTGTTGATATGTCCGTTGCATTACCATCGTTTACTCTCATTTCGGATGGTAGACTTGTGATAAAATCCTTTGGTCTGTACTCGATGCACACCTGGAAAGATGATTTTTTTTTTCAAAAAATTGTCTTTAGAAAGTAAAAATAAAAAATTCTTCATTTCGTATTACGATTTTATTATTCAGGTTTTTGCCAAATAAAATTCCATGATTTTTCCAGGTTAAAAAATTTTTTTTTCCAGGTATGTACTATTTTAACAAACAATGACAAAAATACATTAAATGTACAAGATTAAATTAATTTAAGTGTCTTTTTATAGTAAACTAGTAATGAATAAATTTAATTTTTGACATTTTCTACGATCGAATTTAGAGGAATAAAAAAAGTCGATTTACATTACAAGAAAACTCAAAAAAGTCGCTTCTTTTATTTTTAAATAAAATACAATTAGTAAATATTTTATTATCAAACAATTGTAATTAGAAATTAAATAAATTCTTAATAATGTTTCATAGGAATATTTTCAAGAAATTTTATTTACAATATTTTATAATTAAAAATAAATTTTCAAAAATTCAATTCAGAATATAGGAAAAATTGAAAAAATAATTTAAAATTATTTTAAAAAAATAAAAACTGTTTGAAATATGATTTTAGCAAAGTGTTCGAATTCAGAAGTTTAGAATTAAATTTTCGAAGAACTTCATTAAAATATTATTCAAAAAAATAAATTTAGTAAAAATTTTTTAGAAATAACTGAAATTTAAAAAAGTTGTTAAAATTTTTATAAGTAAATGAATTTTTTGTGAGTTCAAGAAAAAAAAATTTTTAGAAATAATTGAATTTCAGTAAATTTTAAATTAAAGCTCATAAATTTTAATTAGGTAATGAATTTTTTTTACATCAGGTATTTTCGATAATTTGCAGTTAAAAGAACTTTCAATTGAAAAATATTTTAAATAATGGAATTTTTAAATAATTTAATTAAAATTATTAAATATAATTAATTTTGCGAAGAATTCTAGTTAATAATTCTTTTAAATAATTCAATTTTGGAAAATGTGAATTTTATTCTTTTGTATTTTCTTTAAAAAAATGTTTTAGAAAAATGTCGGAAAAGTCACATTTTGTTAAATTAAATTAAAAATAGTCTCATACATGGAAAAGAGTAGAAAAAGTCGTGCAATTCTAGGTCTGAATTTTGCATAAAAATATGTACATAATATGAATTTTGTGTTTCTAAACGCGGTTGCAAAAAAAATTCTTACACGAAATATAAAAATTCCAGGACCTGATGAAAAATTCAAGAAATTTTCCAGGTTTTTCAGGTAAAAAAAAAAAAATTCAAGGACTTTTCAAGGAATTCCAGGTGGCTAGACATAATCTCTTTTTCATAATAATAATAATAATAATTTATTATTATTATGAAAAAGAGACGTTAAATTTTTGAATACTCACTTTATGTGGAACTGGTCGTTCGGACATTGTTGTTTTTAAGCAAGTGACTTTATCGCCAACTTTAAATTCATGTATATCTTGATATCGTTTATGATCCTCATGTTTTCCCTCTGTATTTTGTTCCAATCTCAATTCATTTCTAATTAAATCAGTTTCATATTTACTGCCTCTTCTCTCGTATGTTTCATCAAAATCATAACCAGCTCGTTTTTCTCTTCTCACATCGTCATCAATTTGTTTTGTACGTTTTTCATCATAAATTTCATATTTTGAATTACGATCGGATTTAGTTTCATATTCATTATAATCATAACGAATTAAATTATTATTGCTATTTGATTTTGCAACACTGTAACCTGTATTTTGTGTTAATGGCAATGACGTTGTGGCTCCTAATTTTTGATGTGAATGCAATTCATTTTTATGAATTTCACGTTGCGATGCATAAAGACTTTCTTTATGTTCATATTTTTCTTTTTGTTGTTTCACATAACTTTGTGAAATATGGTCTGAATTACGAATTTCTTGATTTCGATGATCATGATTGCGTGCCTCATAAATACGATGATCGTGATTTTTTTGTTCATTACGAATATCGGGACTACGATGATCTTGATTACGAATTTCAGGACTGCGATGATAATTTTCCTGTCTTATATTATCATGAAGAACACGTGGCGAAACGTAATTTGATTCTTTTAAAAAATTTTCATGATTATGATGTCTCACAGAATCGAGAAATTGTTTTCCCGTTGTATAATGAGATTCTCTGTCTTTTTTTTGAATACCTTTTGAAGTGCCCACTTGATAATTTTGCCGTGCTGGCAAAGGAGGTGGAGTCTCGTCACGACGATGATCCTGATCTTGTGGCTCCAGCAATTCATACCTTTGAAGAAAAAAAATTTGTTTCTATAAGAGTAATTTCTTTTTTTTTTTTTTATTGATTTATTTATTTAAAAAATTGTTCAACGGCTTTGGATTTTTTTTTTTTTTTTACTCACCATCGATCGTCACTGTGTCCACTGCTGCTGCTGGTCATGGTTCCCTCCAGGGGAAATCGTGGATCGTTGAACGACCTCGAACTTGAACCGGTCCCATACCCAGAGCTATTGCTCGATCTCGGCGGGCTGAACGACCTATCGTACCTTTTCTGCTGAGCGACACTTGTCTGCTGTGTGGGTGTTGTATTTTCTGTTGTTGTTACATTCTCGTATTCACCCTCATAATTCCCCGACAAATATTGACATTTCTGTAAAGTGCAGCCCCTGAAAAAAATTCAATTTAATAATTAAAATTTAAAAAAAATTAATAAGTAAAAAAAAAATTTTTTTCAATTTACCTTCGTGGATTTCCATCACTTGACGGTGGAATAACTGTGACGGTGACTTGAAGGCTTGTTTTTAAAAGATCAACCATTTGATCGTGACTCAAAGTGGAAACGGCGACCTTGCAAATTTCCACGAGTCTTGATCCCTGTCTGAGACCGGCTTGCCATGCGAATCCCATACCTTCCACTTGTGTAACAACACCGTCTGGCTGAACGTGAAATCCCAATTGTCCCAAATTATTTCTCTTTAATGAGAGTTCCGAGGCTGGCGATCCTTGTGTCACTGCACGAAGGCGCGCGACAATTTCCATTAATTCGTCACGTTCACCACAATCACCACGTACATGAATCGTGATACATTCACCTTGATGATAATAAAGTCTCAAACTGAAAATTATCATTATTTATTTATTTTTTGTTTTATTTTCTTATTTTTATTTTGTTTTTTATTTTCATTTTTTTTTTGTCTGATTTACCTATTAGTTTGCGCGTGCCATCCAAGAACACCCACGCACGGTGTAACAAAGACTATTTGTCGCGAATGTTCTTCAACAAGTACAATTGAATCGATACTTATGCCAAGATAACAATCGGTACTTTGATTACTGTCTTCCAGAATAACTTGCCAGCATATTGCTCCACGTTGTGAGGCATCACAAGGCAAACGAGGTCGTACAATTGCTTTCTTTTTACTACTAAATGAAAGCATTGCTGAAAAAATCATATTTTTTTAATAATTTAATTAAATATTAAATAATAATAAAATGCTTGGTCTGTCCTTCTGTCCTAACTTGAAGTTGGCCTTTTCTGATTTCACGTGTTTTTTTTTGAATAGTAATCTTATGACGTGTCAAATTTTGACAATTCTTTTTCTCATTTTTGCCAAAGTTGTATAATTGTGTTTCCAAATTTCGGAATAAGTTTCTTTAAAATTCCAAATTCGAAAATTCAATTCACGAAGTACACAATGCTTACCAACGAAATTTTTTTTAAAGTTGTATATTGATTCAAAAATTGTACAAAAAATTTATGATGAGAAAAAAGATGCGCCAGAAAATTTCGTACAAGATAGTAATTTGAAAAAAATTTATTTTTAAAAATTAATTTTTAAGGTACCAGGGGCCAACGATTATCTATTAAATATTAATTATAAAAACATAGGCCTCGAATCAACTTAAATACACAAAAAAGTCGTTTTAGTCGATTTATATTCCAAAAAAAAGTGGATTTGTTTTTTATTTTAACAAAAATATTTTACAAATTTTTAAATAAAATTTTTTTTTTTTTAATAATAATCCTTTTCGAAGGGTTAAAGTTGAAATTTTTAGAAATAATTAAATTTCAAAAGATATTGTTAATTTTGGAAAATTATTGAATTTTAGTTGATTTTGAATTGAAATTTTGAAAATAATTGAATTTTAGTTGATTTTGAATTGAAATTTTGGAAAATAATTGAATATTAGTTGATTTTGAATTGAAATTTTGGAAAATACTTGATTTTGAATTGAAAATTTTGAAAATAATTGAATTTCCTTAGAGTTATAATTGAAATTATTAAATTTCAAAAAAAAAAATTTCGATGGAAAATTTTAGAAATAATTAAATTGTAGATGTTTTTAATTTTAAATTATTGAAAATTCAATTAATTTTGAATTCAAATTTTTGAGAATAATGAAATTTTATTTGATTTGGATAATTAATTTTGAATAGAAATTTTAGAAAATAATTGAATTTCAATTAAAAATTTTCAAAATAATTGAATTTTAATTGATTTTGAATTGAAATTTTAGAAAATAATTGAATTTCAATTAATATTAAATTGAAACTTTTGAAAGTAATTAAATTTTACTTCATTTTGGATTAAAAATTTTGAAAATAATTGAATTTTAGTTCATTTTAAATTGCAAATTTTGAAAATAATTGAATTTCAATTGTAATTTTGGAAAATTATTGAATTTTAGTTGATTTTGAATTGAAATTTTGGAAAATACTTGATTTTTAATTGAAAAATTTGAAAATAATTTAATTTCCTTAGAAAATTGAAAAATTAAAATTAAATTAATTGAAAAATTAATTTAATTAATTTTAATTAAATTAAAATTGAAAATAATTGAAATTATTAAATTTCAAAAAAAAATTTTTTCGATGGAAAATTTTAGAAATAATTAAATTTTAGATGCTTTTAAATTTAAATTATTGAAAATTCAATTAATTTTGAATTCAAATTTTTGAGAATAATGAAATTTTATTTGATTTTAAATTTAGAAAATAATTGAATTTCAGTTCATTTTGAATTGAAAATTTTGTGAAATAATTGAATTTTAATTGAAATTTTTGGATAATAATTTAATTGAAGTTCATTTTTGATTGAAAATTTGGATAATTAATTTTGAATAGAAATTTTTTAAAAAATAATTGAATTTTATTTCATTTTAAATTGAAAACTTGGTAAATAATTAAATTTTGAAATTGAAATTTTTTGACAATTATTGGATTTTTAATTGATTTTGAATTAAATTGTCGGGTAATAATTGAATTTTAGTTTATTTTGAATTGAAATTTTTAAAAAATAATTCAATTTTATTGTAATATTTTATTTTCAAATTATAAACAATTGTTAAATTTTATAAAAATTTGAATTGAAAAATAATTTTGATATAATTGAATTTGTGTTGTATTTCATTAAAATTATTAAAAATAATTAATTTAGTGAAGAATCATTTTAGTTCAAAATTTATCAAATAATTGAATTGAAGAAGATCTGAAAAAGATCTGCATTTTATATTAAAAAAAATGTATTTTATTTACATTTTTTTCAAATGTAAAAAAAAAATGTCACATTTTATTAAAATAAGTCGATAAAAGTCGTATTTTTGAAAAAAGTCCGAAAAAGTCGTATAATCCGAGGCCTGTATAATTTTCATTATTATCATTTAATATGTAATAATATTCTAATAAATTAAATTATTATTGATAATATTAATCTTTAATTTTCTTTATAACAAACAATTAAATACTCAATTTGGCGCGCGTTTAATAATAAATTTTAATTTTCTTTTTTTTCTATTAGAAAATAAAAAAATACATACAAAATTTCTGTCCAGTGTCAACAATCGTTGAAGATGAATATTTCGTTGCTAAATTTCTCAAGTATTCCAATCTTGTTCTCGTTGCCATTGTCGCAAATTTTTCCACTCTAAAATCACAATTTTCGGTAAAAAATTTCAAATTTTTATCAAAAAAAAAAAAATAATAATAATAATAATTCTCACTTGTGCGCTGCATTTTCACCATTAATTGCTTTTGCAAGAATAAAATCAGCGAATGACTTTCCTTTGGGAAATGATGCACCAACAGGAACAGGTGGACCAAAAATTGGTACCTCTTTATTTCTCGATATTGCAACTGTATATTGAGTATTTTCCGAGCATGGATTTGTTACACGTACAATTATAAAAACATGTTGAAATTGTGAACGTATTCTACGTGGACTGAAAGGCAATGCTCCGGGTTCCTGAAATTAAATTTGGTTTTTTTTTTTTTTTTTTCTCAAAAATATTTTCTAATTAGAAAAAAAAAATTTTTTGCAAAAAAAGAAAAATTTTTCGCAGAAAATAAAAAATTTACTTGAAAAACTATTGTGACTATATCGTTTCCAATGTGTCTTTTTCGTAGCAGCTGCTGTCTATTGTTTGGCGTGAAGGGCAACATTGTGGAAACGTGAAAAGTAACTTCCGCTCCACGGTGATTTGCAACGACCGCGTGAGTTCCAGTTGAGTCTGTTCTCGTGTCAAGACCCGCTTTAAAACCCTCGTAACCTCGTAGTCTTACTCTTTGGCCTGGTGAGTAGAATTTTATTTTAAATTTTATTTTATCAATGACGATAAAACGAAAATTTGAATTGAAAAAGAATTTAAAATTTGACCAAAAAAAAAAATACCAGCAATTTTTGAAAAAAAAGGTCCAAAATAATTTTTTTCAAAATCCACTTATAAAATTTAAGAAATTTCGAAAACAAAAAATTGAAAATAATTGGCAAAAATAAATAAAAAAAAAAAAAAAATATTGAAATTTACCAATAGTGTCTAAAAATTCAAGAAATGCAGGTCCAGCATGTTGATTATTGTACATTTCCTCCTCGGTTCTTTGTCCTGCACGACAATAAAGAATACCGATTTTATATCTACTAGTTAGACCATGTTCATCGACATTGGCAACTTCCGGCTCAGAGGTTGGTGTTCCAAGTCTCAGGCAATTCATTTGAACTTCAGGTGCAACCAATTCTAAAAGTTCTCTCGTTGGTATTTTCCCCTGTTGTCTTATTCCAAGAGCCTCCTCAGGAATTGTTCCTCGCAATGTTAATAATTCAGTGGTACGAACAATTATTCGATATTGCGTTCCATCTTTACGAATACTAATTGCCACTGGACCAAGTTGCTCATCCATTCCAAACCAGTTCTGATGTTCTTGACCTAGACAAAAAAAAAACTCAATTTTTTTTTCTTTTATATAAAATAGTAAAAATTCTATTCTATTTTAAAAATATTTTTTTCTAATTCTATTTTAAATTCTATTTTAAAAATATTTTTTTCTAATTCTATTTTAAATTCTATTTTAAAAATATTTTTTTCTAATTCTATTTTAAATTCTATTTTAAAAATATTTTTTTCTAATTCTATTTTAAAGTAGAAATAAAAAATAAAAAATTTTTTTTTTTTCAAAAATTCTTTTTTTTTGATGTGAAATTAAAAAAAAGAAAATTTATAAATGCATACCAAGAAAATATCGACGATAATAGTAAGCACCATCGTCAACGCTCTCAATTGGCATAAGCCTTTTTTGGAGAGGACAAATATGTTTCCATAGAGTTTCTCCAGGTGGTGGCTCTAAGACAGAAACACCATAGGCCATGGGTGGCCTGTGAATTCCATTTGTATTTGGACATCGAGTTAATCCAACTTCTCTCTCGCCCTCTCCGCCAGTTTCATTACGAAAGAATGGACACGATTCAAGTAAATCGTTACCTGAAAAATGCCAATTAATTAGTGTTTTTTTTTTTCTCATGTTACAAGATTTTTTTTTCTCAAATTAAATTAAATGAACCAAATTTATGCAATGAAAAAAAATTTTTTTTTTGAAACAAATATATATTTGTCTCTAAGTCTAATTTTTGTTTTGAATAAAAAAATTTATTAATTTTATTTATCGCAATGAAAATTTTTTTTATTTAACTCAAAATTGTTTTTGAAACAAATAAATATTTATTTATTCCAAAAAAATGTATTTTTTTGAATAATAATAAAGTAAATTATTTTTTTTTTCATTGCATTTGAATTTGTAATTAAAAAATAATTCTTTGTTTTGTTTTTTAAGGAGGAATTGTAAAATTTTTTTTTTTCATTACCTTTTCCATCGCCAGCATCTTCTTCGGGTGCCTCATCGGGAGTTGATGATCGCAATGAACTTGCTGCTGATGCTCCAGTGGCTGTATTTCTTCTTCTTGCTAAAAGTATACCACGTAATTTTGCGGCATATCCTAAATTGGCAGTAAATGAATGACAATCATAATGAGCAAATGCACGTCTTCTATGTCTTTCTTCAACATCGGCCGATATCACTGGACTTGTACATGTTTCCTCTGTTCCTCCTCTTGGCGGTTTTCCACCCCATAATCGATTTAATTTTAATCGTAATTTTGGACTATTTCCCGTTGGTCCACAAACTTCGTCAGCGTCAGGCGATTGAATATCTTGTACGCGTCGTATAAAATCCGATGACGATGGACTACGTTGTTCGGATGGTCGAAAATCTTGAAGCATTGCAAAAAGATTGTCACCAACTGATACTGATTGTGCCACCACATCAATACTTCCTGCAAATTAATAAAAAAAAAAGATTATTAATTATTTATTTTTATTACTTTATTTGTTTAAATATTAAAATAATATATTTTTCTTCACTAGGAAGTAAAATAAATATTTTTCATCCTAGAGTGTAAATAGTATTTTTAAAATTTAAATAATAAAAAGGTAAAAAAAAAATTATTTTACACTCCAGGATCAAAAATAATTATTTTAGTCCTTAGTGAAAAAGGAAATAGTATTTTACGATTAGAAAAAAATTGACACCTAGATCCGAGTAGAGGGAGACATTAATTACCACCTAAAAGTAAAACTCATTTAACAAAAAATTCACAAAAAAATTAAATTTCTCTTAGGCAGACTATTTTATTGCAAATTCTTGCACAAAATACACCTAAAAGTGTAGAAAAAATTGACACCCAGATCCGAGTAGAGGGAGACCCCTATTACCACGTATAAGTCAACCATAACAATGAAAAAGTTTTCAAAAAAATTCAATTTTTCATAGGCAGACGATTTTATTTCAAATTCTTGCACAAAATACACCTAAAAGTGTAGAAAAAAATTGACACCCAGATCCAAGTAGAGGGAGACCCCTATTACCACGTATAAGTCAACCATAACAATGAAAGAGTTCCGCAAAAAAAATAAATTTTTCTTTGGCAGACTATTTTATTGCAATTTCTTGCACAAAAATACACCCAAAAGTGTAGAAAAAAATTGGCATCCCAATACAAGTAGAAGAAAATATTAATTACCACCTAAAAGGAAACCCCATTTAACAAAACAATTCACAAAAAAATTCAATTTTTTTTAGGCAGACTATTTTATTGCAATTTCTTGCACAAAATACACCTGAAAGTGTAGAAAAAAATTGACACCCAGATCCGAGTAGAGGAAGACCCCTATTACCACCAATAATAAGTCAACCATAACCATAAAAAAGTTTTCAAAAAAATTCAATTTTTCATAGGCAGACGATTTTAGTGCAAATTCTTGCACAAAATACACCTAAAAGTGTAGAAAAAAATTGACACCCTGATACGAGTAGAGAAAGACTCCTATTACCACTTATAAGTCAACCATAACCTTAAAAAAGTCACAGTAAACTTGGTTGTATCTTTTTCTATTGCAACGTTTTGATGCACATAAGTTATATCAAAAAGAGATCGTTTTGTGTATCATTTTTAGAAATGATACACGAAACGGTCTCATTTTTTGATGCAAAAAATTTAATCAATTTATATCAATCATGGCCGAATTGGATCGACTCAAAATTAAACGAATTTTTTTCAGATATTTTGGTAATAGTACAATTGCGGAGACCATTTCACTATTTAATTTGAAAATGAAAATAACAGAAAATCAAAGACAATGTGCAATTCGATAATTAAAAAGTGACAGCTTATAAACATAACCTAAAATGCATGAGAAAAAATTTGTCGATAAAATCAATATAGGCTTTTTAGAAGGTAGATGGCAGTTTTGCTTTTTATAAAAACGATTCAGAAAAAATTTAAAGAAAGAAAATAGATGAGTGCTGCCATCTACCTTCTAAAAAGCTCGGCTATATTGATTTTATCGACAAATTTTTCTCATGCATTTTAGGTTATGTTTATAAGCTGTCACTTTTTAATTATCGAATTGCACATTGTCTTTGATTTTCTGTTATTTTCATTTTCAAATTAAATAGTGAAATGGTCTCCGCAATTGTACTATTACCAAAATATCCGAAAAAAAATTCGTTTAATTTTGAATCGATTCAATTCGGCCATGATTGATATAAATTGATTAAATTTTTTGCATCAAAAAATGAGACCCATTTCTAAAAATGATACACAAAACGATCTCTTTTTGATATAACTTATGTGCATCAAAACGTTGCAAAGATTTGATGCAATTTTTGATCTCAATTTGATACTTTTAGGAAAACTGTGAACCATAACCTTAAAAAAGTATAAAATATTTTTCATCTTTTTTATTATTTAAATAGTAAAATACTATTTTCCCTTTCACTATAGGGAGTAAAATGATTATTTTTGACCCTAGTGTGAAAAATATTTTTTATCCTTTTTTATTATTTAAATATTAAAATACTATTTTCCCTTTCACTAGGGAGTAAAATGATTATTTTTGACCCTAGAGTGAAAAATATTTTTTTTATCCTTTTTTTATTATTTAAATATTAAAATACATATTTTCTCTTTCACTAGGGAGTGAAATGATTATTTTTGAACCTAGAGGGGGAAAAAAATAATTTCTTTACCACCGGGGGAAAAAAATTTATTGTAATCAATAATTAAAAATCGAAATAAATGTTGAAAAATAATATATATATATTTCACATAATTACCATGAGAACCATATTCTCTTCTCAGTGGTGTTTCCGGTATTCTCGAACCAGGATCAGGGCTGTGTGGCAATTCCAAACTGGAATTTGATCTATGAAGGGCCAATCCTCGTCCTACACGACTCATTGGCCCTCCATTGCCACCTCCACCGTTCACCGGTAGACTTGCAATCATCTCGTCATTCTATAAGCAAAAAGTAAATTAAAAATTAAAAATTTGTTTTCTTGATAATTTGACAAAAAACTATATTATTTCTTTAAACTAAATAAGTATATTTATTCGAAACAAATAAATATTTATTTGGATTATATATATAATTTCTCTGGGCGTAGTAAATTTTTTGTTTTTTTGCTTTAAAAAAAAAAGTAATAAATTTGAATAATAAGGTTGTTTGTAAAACATGTGTATATGTATTCCAAACAAGGCGACAAGTACTTGGGGAGTCGAGGGTGTGAATATGCTGGAGACTTAACTAAGCTTAAACAAGCAAAAGAAGTATGTGGTTAATTAAAGTCATCTCTCGTTTTTTTTTTAACTCGAATATACTACATACAGGGAAGGGTCAGGTGTCCCTAAGGAATACGTGCGTGCAGCTCATTTTCAAATGTTTCTTGTTTATCTATGACTTTTTTTTTTTTTAATTATTCACTTTTAATGAAGGCTGCTTTAATTTTTTTTTCCAACGCCCATTTTATAATATAAAATTTCACAAATGAACTTTACCTATTTTTTAAATTCTCATTATAATAATATTATAATAACATAATAATAAAAAAAATTTTAATTACAATAAAATTCTAATTATAATTAATTTTATAAAATTATAAATTTTTTTATAATTATAATTTCCCCTCGTTTCATTATTGTTATAATAAAATAATAAATAAAAATTACAATAAAATAATATAATATAGTTATAATAAAATTCAATAGTGATTTAGAAAAAAATTATTTATATTATTTTATTATTTATTTATATAAATTATTATAATTATATAGTACAAAAAAGGCATTTTTTTAACAAAATTTTTTTTTTTTATTTGCTATAAATTATTTTACTTTATTGCGAAAGTAATATTGTTGAAATAGTGGAATGTGAAGAAAAAAAAAACAATATACAACATTGAAATGTAAGGGTTGTATTTTGGACGCCTGAGGGAGAGATGCCCGTCATACATAAATGTATAGATGTGGCAGGATGCCACTGTGTGTAAAATAAAGTGATACCATGGAATGTCGAGAATGTATATAGAAGGGGGGGGGGGACCTATCCGAATGTCTGACCGTCGCGTTCGTGCCAAATACCTGCGGGGCCCAATCTTCCATCGAGATTATTGTTACAGACGCTCTGCTTTCGTGATGCTACCATTTTTTTTTTTCTTTCAAAAAATGAAAACCGGTATATATGTATACACAAAAGTATTCTGTTTTTGTCAGAATTTTAAAAGAGAATTTTTTTTTATACCAATTTTTGACAAAAAAAAATTTTCTTGTTTTTGTAAACATTATTTATTTATTAATGTAATAATTAATTTAATTTAATTAATTATTAATGTAATATAATTAAAAAAATATTTTTTATAAAAACAATAATTTTTTTTTAATACCAATTTTTGACAAAAAAAATATTCTTTTACTTTATTTATTTATTCTTAACATTAACTATTAATGTAATATAAATAAATAATGTAACATTATAAATTATGTAACATTTAAACAATTATAAAAAATAATTAAAATATAAATTATTTTAAAAAATAAATTAGTTATAATAAAATAAAAATAAAATAATTTATTAGTTATATTACATTAATAATTAATTATTACATTATTATTACATTATTAATACATTATTAATGTAATATGAATAATTATAAAATAATTAATTTTATAAAATAAATTATTATTTTATAAATAAAATATTAAAAAATAATAATTAAATTAAATGAAAATAGTTAAAAACGAAAAAAAAAACTATTATCCTGTAAATCTCTTAATCCTTATATTTCTTTCTCTAATTTCCCTTTTATTCGAGTTTACAGGTCTCTCTAACTGGATTTAAAACAGGTTTCTGAGAGAGAGAGATAACTATATAGTTTCCCTAATGTGGGAAAATGAAAATTTATCGCTCGTTTCGAGTCAATATAATGAAGTTAAATTATTCGTCTCTGTCTTTCAAAACGAACCAAACAAAAAAAAAAATTGAAAAAATTGAAAAAAAAAATTTCATAATTTTTAGTCGCGCAGGTATCTTGAAAATTGAGACTGCACATTATGCAGGTCGCCCGCTACTTGGCCTACCATATTCTGTTCTCCATTTCATGAATTTTTTTTTTTTTACTTTTCATTCCTCTTGGGTTAAAAACAAAATTTAATAAATTTTTTTTTTATTTTTACAATAAACAAAAATTCTAAAAAATGATATAAATAAAAAAAAATTTATTTGATTCAATTAATTGGTTATACTTGATTATTATCAAATAAATATTTATTTGTATTAAAAAAATATTTAGTAGTATCAAATAAATATTTATTTGTATTAAAAAAATATTTAGTAGTACCTATCAAATAAATATTTATTTCTATTAAAAAAATATTTAGTAGTATCAAATAAATATTTATTTGTTGCAAATTTAAAACAAAAATTATTTCAGACAATTAAAATTTCTATTTACGGTAAATAAAATTTATTTTGCAAAAAATAAATATATTTGGCTCTAAGACAAATATACGTTTATTTAATTTAAATATATTATATTTGATTATTATTCTTATTAATTTTTGAGCCTGGTAAAAAAAAAAATTGAAACTCATATAAAAGTTACGTAATTATTTTCTAGGGAAACTATTTTTTATAATTACTGCACTGTTATTTTTTTTTTTTCATAAATTTCAAAAAGGTGATAAATAACTTGCGTCAGCTTGTCTTCTATTATTCATCTCTTTTGTAACAAATTGTAAGACGCATTTATATATAAAAGTGTTAATCAATCACTATAGAAATATGAAGTGCAAAACTGAATGATTAAAAATTTGGAAAAAAAAATTTATAATTTTTTTTTACATTAAAAGAAAATTAAAATTTTTTTATTTTTATTATTTAGTATTATTTTTTTTTTAATTTTTATTTTAGAAAAAAATTTTAAAAATGGGAAATTTTTGTTTTAATATTATTATTTATTTCCATGGATTTTAAATAAAAATTTCCTCACATTATATTGATTTCCGTTTTTTTTTATTTTTGCATGCTCATCGTTTTTGAGAACGACGAATTTATGTAAAAATCCTGATGGTTTTATCGCACCTAAATGTCTAAAGAGACTATCATCGGGAGGTTTTTCGTTCTTCCTCTTTTCTTTCTCTCTATCTATCTCTCTCTCTCTCTCTTTCTCTCTCAGGCATAAAACGAACCTAAATAAGAAAGACCGGATTCTTTCGATCTGAGTCACGAGACTCTCAATACATTATTATCTTGAGGATTATGCTCTTTGTCACACATTCAATTCTCATTCCTCATATTATGATACCTGTAATGCACTCGCGATGAGAGAAAATTAGAAAAACCATAACAATATAAATAATGAATTTTATTAGGTATAGAAATAATTATTTTTTTGATGAATTTCAAATTTTTTCAAAATTAAAATTTAAGAGAATTTTTATTAATACGAAATTTTTATTTTTACAAAATTTTAAGCTATTGAATTTTTTCTCGAATTTTTATTTTTTTTAGTCAATATTCTTTAAATGATTTTTTTATTTAAAAAAAAATTTTAATTTAACAGAATCTCTTATTCGAATTTTTAAATGACAAAAATTACAATTCACCGAATATATTAATTTGTCCGAATTTTTATTTGTCCGAAATTACAAAAAGACCGAATTTTATGTGATTCGAATTTTTAAATGACAAAAATTTCAATTCAACGAATACTAATTTGCCCGAATTTTTATGGTGCCGAATTTTTATTTGTCCGAAATTACAAAAAGACCGAATTTTATGTGATTCGAATTTTTAAATGACAAAAATTCCAATTCAACGAATATTAATTTGCCCGAATTTTATGTGATTCGAATTTTTAAATGAGAAAGATTCCAATTCAACGAATATTAATTTCCCCGAATTTTTAAGGTGCCGAATTTTTATTTGTCCAAAATTACAAGAAGACCGAATTTTATGTGATTGGAATTTTTAAATGACAAAAATTCCAATTCAACGAATATTAATTTGCCCGAATTTTATGTGATTCGAATTTTTAAATGAGAAAAATTCCAATTCAACGAATATTAATTTCCCCGAATTTTTAAGGCGCCGAATTTTTATTTGTCCGAAACTACAAAAAGACCGAATTTTATGTGATTCGAATTTTTAAATGACAAAAATTCCAATTCAACGAATATTAATTTGCCCGAATTTTATGTGATTCGAATTTTTAAATGAGAAAAATTCCAATTCAACGAATATTAATTTGCCCGAATTTTTAAGGCGCCGAATTTTTATTTGTCCGAAATTATATACAAATGACCGAAAAAACAATCGATTTTGGCGCTATTTTTAAAAATTGACCAATCACGATTTTTTTTGTGACAATTTTTTATTATAGTCAATTTTTAAAAATAGCACCGAAATCGATTGTTTGTTCGGTCATTTGTATATAATTTCGGACAAATATGAAAATTCGGCGTTTTTTTTTTTAAATTCGTATACCAATAAAAATACAATTTAATTTCAATAAAAAATTATATTTGCTTCAATTAAAAATATTTAATTTGATAATAATATAATCTAGTAATCGATAATTTTGAATGAAATAAATTTTTATTTTCGTTTGCATTTTTCTATATATAAATATATTAGGAGTGCAGTTTCATTCTCTTGCAATTATGAAAAACGTCATCGTCACTCATATATTTTGATCGATTGATAAGTCGCTATATAATATTATATATATATATATATATATCTAATGTGAGGTATGTATCAATTATATTTTCTCACCGCGTTCAATCTAATGAAAATTAAAGGCACGTTTGACCGCAATCGAATCATATTGCAACATGGCAATTATTTTTCAAGTATTAAATACAAATAAATTCCATTTTATGGAAAATTTATATATATATATATATATATATTCAATTCAAGCGGTTTTTTAAAAAAAAAATTTATAATTAACAATAAA